AGTAGTAGTAGTAGTAGTAGTATAGTATATTAGTATAGTAGTAGTAGTAAAGTAGTAGTAGTAGTAGTAGTAGTAGTAGTAGTAGTAGTAGTAGTAGTAGTAGTAGTAGTTAGTAGTAGTAGTAGTAGTAGTAGTAGTAGTAGTAGTAGTAGTAGTAGTAGTAAGTAGTAGTAGTAGTAGTAGTAGTAGTAGTAGTAGTAGTAGTACTTAGTAGTTAGTATAGCGTAGTAGTAGTAGTAGTAGTAGTAGTAGTAAGAGTAGTATTACAGGGAGTTGTATTCGTAGTAGCGGTTGGTAAGAGTAGTAGTAGTAGTAGTAGTAGTAGCTAGTAGTAGTAGTAGTAGTAGTAGTAGTAGTAGTAGTAGTAGTAGTAGTAGTAGTAGTAGTAGTAGTAGTAGTAGTAGTAGTAGTAGTAGTAGTAGTAGTAGTAGTAGTAGTAGTAGTAGTAGTAGTAGTAGTAGTAGTAGTAGTAGTAGTAGTAGTAGTAGTAGTAGTAGTAGTAGTAGTAGTAGTAGTAGTAGTAGTAGTAGTAGTAGTAGTAGTAGTAGTAGTAGTAGTAGTAGTAGTAGTAGTAGTAGTAGTAGTAGTAGTAGTAGTAGTAGTAGTAGTAGTAGTAGTAGTAGTAGTAGATGTCTTTTGGGAGCCTCTTGGAGGCCTTTTGGGGCGTCTTGGGGGCCTCTTGGCGGCCCCAGGGGCTTCTAGGAGCGTCTTGGGTGCGTTGGGGGAGCCTCTTCGGGCCTCTTGGGAGCCTCTTGGAGGCCGTTTGGGACGTCTTGGGGGCCTCTTGGCGGCTCCAGGGGCTTCCAGGAGCGTCTTGGGTGCCTCGGGGGAGCCTCTTGGGGCCTCTTGGGGGCCTCTTGGGGGCATCTTGGGGGCCTCTTGGAGGCCTCTTGGGGCCTCTTGGGGCTCTTTGGGAGGGGTCTGGGAGGAATCTTGGGGCCATCTGTCGGGCGATCGATCACAGATGGGGCGAGCACTTTTCTCCCTCCCCCCGTCGGGGCCAGAATCCTCGTGAGGGGTGTCGAATTTTAGCCCTCCCAGGAGTCCAAAAAGACCCCTCCAACGACCCGCGAAACGCCCTCTCCAGGCCCAGAGGGAGGGGGTAGGGGGAGGGGTAAACCCCTCCCCGAAAGGGAAGAAGGGGGTTGAGAACAGAGCGGACTCCCTAAACCACTCACGCCCAAAGGGCTGGTGGGATTTCAATACCTGCATGATTGAGGCTCGCTTGTCGCACAGAACGCGGCGATTCGCATAAAAAACCTTGGCTGCACCTCGCATGTGGCAATTCAGATCCAGAGTGCGGGAGTCCGCCCCCCCTGGCTGGACAACATGCAACCCAACCGTGCGTGAGCCGAGTCTCTGGGGATCACGGCTATTGTCAACCCCTCCGGCGTGCGGATCGCGGAGGGAGCTTGTGCCATAGTGGTCAACGCCTTGGGTTTGCTTGGCGTTGAGAACCAGTCCGACCCTCAGCAGCTCCAGCACGAGCGTGTCAAGTAAGACGCACGCTTCCTTGCCGAATCCGCGGGAAGAAGTAAGTCGTCTGCGAATCGCAAGTTCGTCAAACGATCTCCGCCATCTCCAGGATCTATTCCCAGATGTCCAGCTTTCTGCTTCCAGCACGGCATTGCGCACTCCATGGCGGACGCGAACAGCTTTGCACTCAGTACGCACCCTTGGCGGATCATCACTGTGGGCGTTCTCACCCGCAACGATACAAAATTGATCTTCATAGAGTTGTCGAATGAGCCATACCATATGCTCGGACATGTTTAAGGAGTGCTTGCCATAGTGGGTCCCATGCCAATGTGTCAAACGCTTTCGACAAGTCCAAGCTGATGTTCCAAACTGGTATTCCTACGGCACGCGTTTCTGGAAGACAACGTTGGCAGTAGCCACATGATCTTCGAGGCGACGACCAGACTGGAAACCTGTTGCTCTTCTGGTTGCGCATGCTCCATGGCATATTCAATTCGAGGCGCTTCGCGTATCCTCATCAGCCCATCCAAAAAACGATATCCAGGCGAGTTGAGGTGATCAGGGAAGTGCGGGAGCAAACCGCGCGAAGGAGGGAGGAGGAGAAGAAGGAGGTCGATGAAGATGATGATCGGATGATGATGATGATGATGATGATGATGATGATGATGATGATGATGATGATGATGATGATGATGATGATGATGATGATGATGATGATGATGATGATGATGAGGAGGAGGATGAGGATTATGATGATGATGATGATGATGATGATGATGATGATGATGAGGAGGAGGAGGAGGAGGAGGAGGAGGAGGAGGAGGAGGAGGAGGAGGAGAAAGAGTAGGAGGAAGGAGGAGCAGGGGGAGGAGTGCGAGCACAAGGGCCAGAGGTCTCTTGGATGCCTCTCGGAGCCTCTTGGGATATCGCTTGGGCGTTTCTTGGTGGCCTCTTGGGACGTCTTGGGGGCCTCTTGGCGGTCCTGGGGGGCTCTTGGGCGTCTTGGGTGCTTCGGGGGCCCCTCTTGGAGCGTCTGGGGGGGCATCTTGGGTGCCTCGGGGATCCTTTTGGAGCCTTTTGGGGGCCTCTTGGGGGCCTCTTAGAGGCCTCTTGGGCGCCTCTTGGGGCCTCCTGGGCGCCTCTTGGAGCCCTTTTGGGGTGCTCTTGAAGGCCTTAGGGGCGCTCTTGGGGCCATCTTGGAGGAGATCGATGAAAGAAGGGGGGGGCTTCAATTACGCCCCCCCCCCCCCCTCGGGGCTTCCCAACTGGTGCCCAAACCTTGGTAAAACCAATGATTTTGGCTTCCTCGCCGAGGCCGGTTTGGGCGCTCCGACCGCTCGCGGAACGCCCCGTCCAGGTCCAGGGGGAGGGGGCCGGGGGAGGGGTCAAGATGGCCAGCTCGATCGAGTCAGAGGGCTCCGTCCACTCCCACCCGCCCTCCCACAACATAAGAAGCAAATGCGTCGCGTCCGACGCTTGTCGCTCACCTTATATCGTGGGCGGCTAGACGTTCACCGCGCGACATGAGCTGCGTCCTATTTCTACCGCGTATTGAGCAACGTCGAGGAGAAACAAGACCGCGCGCGATGTACGCCGCGCCCCGCTCTTCAACCCGACGGGCCGCAGCGTCGACGACAAGAAAGTCCATGTTGACGAGCAGGCGTCCCCGCGCGATGCGCGCCGCGTCCCATTCCCGCTGCGCGATTCGCAGCGCCGACAAGGAGGAAATACATGTTGGCGACGTTGCGGTGTCTTTTTGCAGGCGGGACGGGGGGGGGTCCCGCGCGCGGGCCAGGCATCCGCGCGCGATGCGCGCCGCGTCCCGTTCCTGCTACGCTTTCCGCAGCGTCGACGACAAGGAAGTCCATGTTCACAAGAGAAACGTTGACTTTGCATTGTTTTTTGACGGGTACGACGCGACCACCCGCTCAGGGTCGCCCAAGCGATGCCCATTCCGTTTTTTCCTGCTACACTTTGCGCAACTCGACGACGTGCTGGCGAGAAAAAAGTTGTGTTTGTGTTGTTTTTTGTCAGTTAGGACGGCCGGGTTGCTATCGGCCGGCTAGGTGGGGACGTGGGGGTGTTAAATCATAAGAAGTAAGGATAAATCCTCCCCGGCGGGGAAGAGGGACGGATAAAAGAGGAAACGCTCTAGACCACCTACGCCGAAGGGGCTGGTGGGATCCTGCCCAGAACGAGGTGGCAATCTAGGTGGCAGTGCGTGGTGCAAGCTCTGCGGTGCAAGCTGCGCGGTGCAGGCCATCTGGTGTAAAGAAGCTGCGCGGTGCAGGTCACGTGGTGCAGCACCTGTGGTGCCAGCTGCGTGGTGCAAGCCGCGCGGTGCAAGCCAAGCGGCTGCCCGTGGTCCGCCCACGAGGCGCCCACGGGCAGCCACGCGTGGGCACCCGGCGCAGCGCCGGCACACCCACCCGCCGCACGGGGCGCCCCTCCGGTTGCCCACGGCAGGGGGCCGGGCGAAGCCTCGGCACACCCGCCCCCGGCGCGTGAGGCGCCCACGGCCGGCCACGAGCGGGCCCTGCGGGGGGAACTTGCGGCACCCCCGCGCGACACGTGTCGACGAGGCGCCCGCGGGGCGCCCACGGGCGGCCACCGACCAGGCACTTGGCGAGAAGCAAGCACACTTGAACTGCTTCGGAACGAAGGTCAGAAGCCCTCGCGCAAGCACTGCTTGGGGAAAGTGCGCCACGCGTGCGCCTGGTGACGTTACGCTCAACAGCGCTTGGCAGTGCTGGCCCGCAGCTATGATATGCAGTGCCATGCTGTGTCATGACTGTTTGATGTCATGCTACTTTAATCAGTGCTAAAATATTATCCAATACCACACAATGTTGCAATGCCTTGATGTGCTAGCGTGTGCCATGATAGGCGTCGCTGTACTATAGCATTCAATGTAAAGAGCAGTTTTGCAGCTCATTGCGTTGCGCCTCACGGTGCTGCGTTGCGTTGCGCGCGCATGCTTTCAAAAACGAGCGCCCTTAGTACAGACTGGCCGTTGAAGGTCGACTTTTGGGGGATTCTCGGATTCCAATCAATTTTAGGCGCCTTCCTACTTCAATGATCGAGTGGTTTCACCGTTTCCTTTTTTCTGCAGGGGACGGGCGGACGCCCAGTCTACTTCTACTAACGCCTTCCTGCTTCATGCTTCCACCTACTTCGTCCGACCGATGGGTACGGGTCGGGCCGAGCTTCTTGAATGGTCTCTGTTCCTGGAACTCACCTCCAGGCACCGATGTCGTGAACGAAAGCGCCCGTCGTGACGTCATTACGACGCCGGGAGGCCTAAGGCCGTAGACGGGCTAACGGCACTGTAGGTAACGGCGATATAGGTTTCGGTAGTGTGCGAACGCGTGGCTCGCGCTTTCCTGCAATTCGCTGTGTCGTGTTCACTCGATCCATTTCGCGGATGGGAGACGTAGGAACAGCGTGGGTCGTGGTTTCCTGCACTCTTGGTTCCTGGCAGCACTGTGCAGCAACATCGCCATTGGCCCGGCCTCGGTGAGGACTTCGCCCCCATAGGGAAGCGGTTGGCGGCCAGGGCCGCCGAGGAGGCCGCCAAGGAGGCCGCCAAGGCTCCCGCCGGCCAGAAGCTGGGCGGCAAGAAGCCGGGCTCCAAGTCGCCAGGCGGCAAGGCTAGGCCACGCGCAGACGTCGAGCAGTGGCGAAGCGTCTCGGCTTGCCTATAGGCCTACCAAGGAATGTTCTAAGAACCTTATGTGGTCTGCACGAAATGTTATCATTTCTGGCCTACAGGCCTATAGGCCTACCAAAGAATGTTATAATAACCTTATGTGGCCTATAGACCTACGATATGTTCTAAGAACCTTATGTGGCCTACAGGCCTATAGGCCTAGCAAAGCATGTTCTAAGAACCTTATGTGGTCTGCACGAAATGTTCTCATGTCTGGCTGAGGCTATCTTGTTTTAGCAACTCGGAATTCTGCTCTAAGAACACTGTCTTGTTCTTAGAACATTTCTGGGTTCTCATGGTAGGCTATAGGGATGCTGGGACGGTCGGTCCCTGCTCGAAGACGGGGAGCACTAACACATGATATAAGCATAATAGGTCTGGGCGGATGTCTCAGATCGGCGCTGGACCCCCCTGGCGGCGCCTCCGGCGCCGCCCCTGGCGCGCTCCGCGCGCCAGGGAGGGGGGTCTTGCGCCTATCCGGGGGGGCGGGGAAGGCTTCTTAGGAACAGCTCTGCTTCTTAGATGGCGCGGGCCTTGCCTGTGGGTGCAGGGCCAGCCCAGCGCCGTCTAAAAAGCAATTTCCTTCTAAGAAGCCTTCCCCCCTCGCCCCTACGCCCCTGTGCGCGCCCCCAAAAGTGCGGGCAAGATTCATGTCCATATCCAGTGCCTCTTGGACTTTTTTGGAAGCGGCGCCACAAGGCCGAGGCGCACTGGATATGGATAAACATCGAGCCTCTAGGGGGCAAACTTATCCATATCCAGTGCGCCTCGGGCTTCTTGGGAAGGGAGCCCGAAACTCCATACTGCAGTGGATATGGACAGAAGTATTGCCCGCAAAGAGGCGCCAGCCAGCAAGAAGAAGGCCAGCGGCAAGGCGCCGGGCGGCAAGAAGTCGGCGAAGAGGTTCATCGACGACCTGTAGGGCGGCCAGGCCGAGCCACCGGACGCCGAGCGGCTGCCCGGGCCTCCGAGCAGAGCCAGGGCTTCGTGGGCCCTGGAAACGACAGGGCCGCTTTTGTACCAGTTCCGTTTTGCCGTTTCTTTGCCGGCTCCGACGCCGTTTTTGTTACCGGTTCCGTCGCCGTTTTTTGACCGGTTCCGGCTCCGGTTCCAATCCTGTAGCCGTTTTTGTTGCCGTTTCCGGTCGCCTTTTTTTGCCGTTTCCATTTTCAAGCGATTTTTTGTTGTGGAAACGGTGTAAAAACGGCCCTGCCGTTTCCGGGGCCCGCAAAGAGCCAGGGTGCCTGGCGGCAAGAGCCGCCTGGCGAGCAGTGGCAAGCTGGCGCGGCAAGGTTCGCGGACGCACCGACGAGCCGTGGGCGGCCCAGGGGTGGGTGGCAGTGCGGCAGCGCTCGTGGGTGAAAACATATCCGTGTCCGCGGCCTCGCGGGCCGGGCCCCTGGGCCACGACTCCGCGGATACGGAGCGTTGTTGTCGCGGATGCCCAGCGCGGAACGCATCCGTGCGACCGCGCATCCGCGGGATCGCGCCCTTGGTGGGCCAATTTTCCGCCACCACTACCATAGGTAGGACGGGGGGAGAAGGGAGGATGGGGAGGTCCTCCTCCTCCTCCTCCTCCTCCTCCTCCTCCTTCTGCTCCCTCTCCTACCTTTCGTATTGTTGGTGGAACAGCGGCCCATCACTGGAACCCAGACCGCGAGGGCGCGGATACGGATCTGTTCGCCCCGTGGCCGGGGTGGCGTCACGAAGCCAGGCGCCAGGGCGCGGGACGACAGGCCGGCCGGCAAGGCTCCTCTGACGCAGCGTAGGCGGCCACGCCAGGCCAGGCCTTCTCTGCCTCGTCGTCGTCGTTGTCGTCGTCGTCGTCGTCGTCGTCGTCGTCGTCGTCGTCGGCGTCGTCGTCGTCGTCGCAATCGTAGTCGCCCCTCCTCCCCCAGAACGGCGGGTGCGCGCCGCGTCGACGCGGCGGCGACGCCAGCGCGGGCGCCCGAGGTTGGAGGCCGCCCGCGGCCGGAGCCATGGCCAGCTCTGAGCGGCCTCTGCTGGCAGGCAGCGGGTGGCCATCGAGGCTCGCGCGGCCTACATCGTGTCAGGCACCCACGTCGTCGTCCCTCCTCGTCCTCCATCTCCTCGATGCTCGTCCTTGTCTTTATCCCCCTCCTCTCTGCTCGCCTTGTTCGCCCCCTTTCCTTCTTCCTCCCACCTCTCCCTCCTCTCATACTCCTCTTCCTCCTCCTTCTCCTCCTCCTTCTCCTCCCCCTCTTCCTCCTCCTCTTCCCTGCTCCTCCTCCTCCTCCTCCTCCTTCCACGCCGTCCGTTGGTCCCTCCCTCTTATACTCGCTGATTTTCCATCGTGCTGCCAAGCAGGCGGTACTAGGACCAAGAGGATTGCAGTCCTGCCCCCCCGCTCGGTAGCCGGCGGCTCCCTCAGAAGGAGGGCAAAGCCGTTGGGGGGTCGATCCTTTCAGACGGCACCGTCGAGGATCGAAGGATTGAAGGTCTTAGGTATGAGGATCGGGGGTAGAAGACGTTGGCCCCCTTTGCCTATTTGCACCGCGCGAGGCATCGAGGGCCTCGGGATGCCTCGGAGGCCCTCCGGAGGCCTCCCGGGGCAGCTTGCCGAGTCGGCGCGCCTCTTGTGGAAGCCTCCCTGTTACCAGCCTGGAACATATCCCTGTCCCTATGCTGGGCACCTCCTCATCCCGATGCCAATCTTTAGGGATTCCCTCATTCTTGGGGGGCGGATCCCTGAGAGTGTCATCGCCTCTTGGCATGCCACTCTTAGGGATAGGGCTACGTTCGAGGCTGGTAGCCCTGGCCTCCCCATCGTGGAGCTCCCCTGCCGGCCGGCCCCTCCCTTCGAGGCCCCCGTGCAGCGCCCCCCCCCCCTCGCCCTGTGTGCCCTCCCGCGCGCGGCCGGCGAAGCCCGCACGAGCTCTGGCGGGTCCTCTCCGGCCAGGAGCTCGCTGTTCACCAGCCTCGAGCGTATCCCTATCCCCAAGAGTGACACGCCGAAAGGCAATGACGGTCTTAGGGATTCGCCCCCCAAAAACGAGGGAATCCCTAAGATTGGCATCGTGATGAGGAGGTGCCCAGCATAGGGATGGGGATATGTTCCAGGCGGGTAATCTCCAGCCAGGAGCTCGCCGTGTCCGCCCCGGGGAGGAAGATCGGGCCGGGCGAAAGGGGGGGATTGGGAAAGGGGGGGTGCGAAATCTGCTGCATGCCGCTGGTTTCGGCCTCACCGAGGGGCCCATTCCTCGACACACTGCCGCCTCCGGCGCCGGGAGGCGCCAGGAGAATCAGCTACGTGAGCTGATTCTCACCCCCCCCCTTTGCTATCCCCCCCTTCCCCCCGACCCGAGAAGAAACCGCCCCGACCCTCACGAGCGCTGTTTGCCAGGCTACCTCCATGCGCTTGCGACGGAGCCCTGCGCGGCTCGCATGCTTCATCGGGCGCGCTTGCTGGAGGGCATCGGTTGCAGGGGTGACCCTTCTGCGGGTGGTTCTTCCGCCCTCGATCCTCATCCCCTTCGTTGTGCGGCCGCCTGATCTGGCGCCGACGGTGTCTCAAGTCGGCTCGAGTCCATAGACCGGGGGCGAGAAAAGGGCCGTCGGAAGATGATCACGGCGGGACCTTTCCGGAATACATTGATTGCAAGCCGTGGTGCGCCTCGCTATCGGGAGTGCAGGGCACATCCGACGCCTATCATTGAGCTTCCGAAGGGGTCTCCCACGTCTCCAGCGGACTACCATGGCGTTTCTGGGGGATGAGACACTTCCCCAGGGCACCTGCTGGCAGGCCAACTTTTAACCCAACCTGCCCACTGTAGTTGCTCTCTATCTTTTCACAAGATGAGCGCGTGCTTTGCTGCATCAGAGTGGGAGGGCAGAACGGTCTTACACAGTGACTGGGTGCGCGGATTGTCGTTCTTGTTATCGTCGTTATGACCGTTCTTATTGTCGTCGCCCTCGCCTGCGGACAGCCCGCGACCCACCCGCTACCTGTCCGCGACCCATCCGCGACCCAGGTTGTCCTGGCGACCCACCCGCGACCCACCAGCGACCCGCCCGCGACCCGCCCGCGACGACCCACCCGCAACCCATTGGCAACCCGCCAACGTTGCTATGCGAAAAAGAAGGCTGATGCGGGCTCGTTAAGACATGTGTACGGCATCGGCACTTGCGGCGGGCTCTTCCGACGTTTCTTTCGAATCTCGCAGGCTGCCGACGGTCCCCCTCCCCCGCCGCCCCCGCATTCGTATCCGCAGATGCGGGGGCTACTGTACCACCATGCAGTGTCTAACTATGGAAAGCCATGCTTTGCTATGGTAGGCTATGCCAGGCGTGCCGTGCTACGCCATGCTCAACTATGCCGCATTTTGTGCACGGCTACAGTGAGTATGATCAGTGAACCATCTGAACAAGCGGGATCAACATTGTATCGGGTGTGCCCCGCCATGGTGCTATGCGCTATTCTAGATATCAGCCGCGCCGGTCTGCGCAATTTTGTGTTTTTCTAGCCCATGCTCTGCTATGCTGAGATGTGCTGCGCACGACATCATGCCTTTGTACGGCTTGTATACGACTTTTGTACGGTTTGTATACGCTGTGCCTACGTAGCGTGTACATGTTATCTATGTAATGTATGCATTACAGAGAATCGTGTTGTATACGTCTCGTTGAAATGCCGTGCGCGTCGCGCTCACGTTGCATATACACCCCATATATGTGTTTGTAAATGTGCTGTTGCCGGTTGGTATACACTGCGTACATTTAATTTTGTGTCAGTGTTTTGCTTGCGTTTCGTATCGGTTTCGTATGCTTTGGGGGTGCGTCGAGGGTACGTGTGTTTGCGTGCTGATTACTTTTCGGACATGTGCTGTACACGGTGTGTCTACTTCTGGTACACGTTTCGCGTACCTTCCGTGCGCGTTTCGCATTCGTTGTGTTTACTCTCCAAACACGTTACAGATACGATCCGGCTACATCTTGGACGCGATTTCTACAGTTTCCTTTGCGTTCCATTCACGCTTCCTGCAAGTTCCGTACACGTTCCGCATACGTTCCGCAAGCTTGTGGTACCTGTTTTGCTGACGCCGCCTACACTCTGTATAGGTTGCGTGTTCGTTTCTTTTGCGTTTGAGATTCGTCTTACTTACATCAGATATACGTGCTGTGTGCACGTTTTGTAAAACGATGCGTGCGCAGTTTCGTGCGCGTCTCCCGACGTTTCCTATACGTTTCGCTTACGGGGTGCATACGTATCATATCCGCTACCTGTGCGTTTCATTTTCGTGCCGTATGCAGGTCGTATACGTTTCGTATACGGTTGGTTGACGTTTCGCATGCGATCCATAACCGTTTCACATACTTGTTTGTATACGGTTGATCTCACATACGTTTCACAAGCGTTTCAGTGATGACAGTGATGGCTCACTTACGTTTCACCAGCGTTTCATATCCGATTTAGTGCACGTTGCATGTATGTTCCATACGCGTTACGTTTACGTTTCGTGCGCATTTTGTATACGTTCCGCACGCATGTCGCACATTCCCCATACACGCTTCGTAAGCTTTTTTTGTTTGAACTTGCTTTGCGCACTTGCATGCTTCATGCTTGGTTAATTCACGTGTTTGTATGTGTGGTCTGCGTAAATGTTTCGTGCACGTCCGATAAAAGTTGCATACATTTTGCGTGTACGTGTCGTATATTTTACACATAAATGCGTACACAATCAAATGTGTAAGTGATCATTGTATACATACACGAGATGCATGTGCCGCGTTGTTTCGCTGATGTTTCGTATACGGCTGGCACGACATGTATTTGCAGGAGGGCGGCAAGGAGCAGGAACGCGAGCGGCAGAACCAGACGGGCGGACCGGGCGGGCGGACCTTCCCGGGCGGGTCGGACGGCCGAGCCCAGTGAGCCAGGTCCAGCGGGCGGGTCGCTAACGCGCCAGTCCTGCATGAAGTGCGAGGAGGTTCCGGACGATGGCGCGAATCCCAAGTAAATCATGAGGAAGGTCCACAGCGTGAGTGTGATTCTTGCGTGTCGAGGGCGCGACGCCTGACTGAATTGTGAGGACGTCCCGCGCGAGAGCGCGATCGTAATTACGTTTGTGAGAGGTGCCAGGCGTGCGCCGTTGTTGTTGCTGCTGTTGTCGTAGTTTGCGGGCCACCAGCCCAGTCTGAGGCGCAATCGTTTCCTTTGGAAGAAAGGTGGGCGCCTGAATTGAAAAAACACAATGGGCACTGGAGGGAGGGGATCAACAAACCACGTCCCTCACAAATGCGACTACAGCAAGCAGCACACCAGCAGAGTCCGGGCCACGGAGCCCCACTTCACCCACGCACCCTGGGATGGTGTAAGACAGTGTAAGACCGTTCGGCCCCCTCTCTCTGATCTCTGGTGATCTCTGGATGCCCCCCCAGGCCCCCCAAAAGTCACCACCCACCAAACCACCCCAACCCAACCCGAAGGCTCAGATTTACCCTCGATTTCCAGTGGGGGGGGCTCGGGGAACATCGAAAAAACACATGTGGAACCCTTACCCCCCCAACCCGAAATTCAGGTCTTCGGGTTGGGTTGGGGTGGTCTGGTAGGTAGTCAAAAAGGTGTTACGAGAAGGCGGCCCCGGTGGCCACCCCCAGGGCCAGGCCCTCCGAGGTCTGTCTCTCGAAGGGTGGGCCGTCGCGGCTGCGGCAGCTGCATCGGCAGACCTCGAGGGAAGAAGTACAGTCAGCCCGCATAGTGAGCATGAGCGACTCTCCAAGGCTGCTCTTTTATTCTTATCTTTTCGGCCTATCCTTGGAACATTCGCTGGCCAACCTCGTTCCCAAGGCCCTTGCATCCTTACCGTGGATCCTTATCATACGGGTTGACTGTTGGGTGGCCATGGCCAAGATGCCGTTGGATCTTGTCGACGCCGATCTTGGTCATTCAGGGGAGAGTTGAGACATCGGCAGTTGGCTTTCGAGGGGCGGGGCCCTCGTCGCCACCGCTGGACGCAGCTCGGGGAACTGACTCGTTTGGACCCCAGGAGGGGTCAGGGGATCGATTTTGAGTTGCCGTTGTCTCATCTCCCCCTGCTCCGAGATCCTGGTCCTGGTCCGTGCCAGCCGAAATCGCGAGGGCGAGCCATGAATTGGCGATGGGCGATGACCGAGGTCGACACCGAAGTTTGCGCGTTCAGCCCCCAGCCCACACCGCCGCCGCCGTCGCCGCTGTCGTCGTCGTCGTCGTCGCCGTCGTCGTCGACATCGAGGCACGAGGAAGGTTGCCGACCGCCACGCCCCCGCCGCCGCCACCGTCGTCGTCGTCGTCGTCGTCGCATCCCACTATGGCTCGATCGTCTTCGTCGCCGGCGTCGTCGTTGGTGTCCTCGTCGTCGCCGTCGTTGTCGTTATATTCGTCGTCGTCCTCTTCGTCGTCGTCGTCTTCGTCATTCTCTTTGTCGTCGTTGTCATCTTCGTCGTCGTCATCTACGTCGTCGTCATCTTCGTCGTCGTCGTCTTCATCTTCGTTGTCGTCGCCGTCACCTTCGTCGTCGTCATCTTTGTCGTCGTCGTTATCTTCGTCGTCGTCTTAATCGTTGTCGTCGGCGTCGTTATCGTCGTCGTCGTTGTCGTCGGGATGAAGCCGCGAGGGGAGGCTGTTGATCGCCACGCCCAAGGCCCGGGCCGGCCTGGCCGGCCAGCTGCAGCGTTTGCTGAAGCGCGAGCTCGGCCCGCTCGCGGGCCGCGCCGAGGAGGCGGCGGCCCAGGCTCGGCACCTCCGCTGGCCATCGCAGCATCGTTCAGCCAGCCCCCATTTTAGGCCATCTCCACCTCCATCCTCGGAGGAGGAAGCGGTACCCATGCCGCAGCGTTGCCCGCGTTTTCGCCCTTTGGGGGCCCCCTGGGAGGCCTTCGTCGCCATCGCTGGATTCGCCTGGAAGTCCTGGTCAGAATGCACCCTGGGAGAGGTCCAGGGAGTAGCGGTATCGGTACCTTTGGTTTCCTTTCAGCCAGACCGTAGTTGCCTTGATAGGCACGTGATGAAACGCAGCACGTGCCGTGTTCAAGACGTCCGTATGAACGCGTTGCATGTTGGTTGGGCACGTGTTGGCCCACGTTGTGGCAAGCGTATCGCGCCATACCTACTTTTTTGGTCTACGTGTAAAGTTCTGTGTCCACACGTTACGTGTTGCGTGTTGCGTATCGGGGCAGCTAGGATCCAGACCATCCACATCCCCTTCCAGGCACCCACCATCCCCTTTCTAAGTAACCGTCCCTATCCCATCCAGACCCCCACAATCTCAGCACCCCAGCGGGGGACATGCCCCTCGAAACCTGGAGGAAACAGCCTGCATCCCCATCTAGGGTGGTAAATCGGCCAGTGGGGCCCAGGCCAATCCCATGGGGATAGAGGTCTGTGAAACGATGCTCGCCTTCGGAGGTTTTTGGAGGGCCGTCGCCGACTGCACCTGAGAGTGGCCTGTCCTCGGAGTGGCTGAGCTCGAAGCGGCAGCGGTGGCCTGCGCGCTCTTGTGTTGGCCAACCCGCGCCCCCGTGAAGCCGCGAACCAGAGGTCACTAGGTCACTCTTGCCCAGGGTCATTCTTGCGTGTAGCCGACGGCGGGTCTCTATTGGCGCCGCCACCGTCGCCACCCCCAGATTTTTGGCGGATTGATCCCTGAGTCCTGGTATCTGTCTTGTCGTCGCGGCCGCAGTCAGAGCCTCCACAGTCAGAGCCGCCGCAGTCATCGTGGTCGTCGTCGTCGTCGTCGTCGTCGCTGACGGCGTTGGGAGCTCTTCTAACATTACTCGCCGTTCTAGGACGTTCGCGGGCGTTCTTTGGAGCTTCGTCAAGTCTCGGAAAGTCAGGGCCGCCTACGATCCGATTCGATGCGATTCGATTCGGCGGCTGGGGCCGCGATTCTGCTTCGATTCGATTTGGCTCGCTTCACCGGTTTCGGCCAGGGCCAGCCGGACCCGGGCGCGGCAATCTGATTTCGATTCGATTTGGGACGATTCGCTAGCGATCCGATCAGTTTCCGATCCGATCCGATTTCGCGATTGGATGCAGCTCAGACCTGGAAGGTATGATGAGAGATTTGCAGATTCTTCTGAAGTCGCCGCCGCCGTAGTCGTCGTTGGCGACGCCATCGTCGCCATCGCCATCGCCGCAGTCGTTCCTATACATGCCTGCCCCTGCTCGCCGAACTCTTGGGTGGCCGAGTCGTGCTGCTGGTGCCTGTTGTGCCGCGGGGCACTGGAATGCTGCTAGGTCATGTGTGGTGGTCGCCCCGCTGCGCGTTCCATTGGGTGGATCGTCGGGTCGCGCTGCTGTTGGACGTCGTGCTGCTGGTTCCCGGGGTGCTGCTCAGTACAGAAATTATTGCTCGTCAGTCTGATGTTTGAGTCGTGCTGCTGCTCCCCGTCGCGCTGCTTCTCACCGGGGTGCGGCTCACTGAGTTGGCGATCGCCACAACTCCTGTCACACTCGTAGGAGGCCGAGTTGGGCTTCTCCGGGTCGCCCCCCGGCTCGTGGTTGTGGCCGGGACCGTGGAGATGGTTTGGTGATGATGATGATGGTGATGATGATGCTCATGTTGTTGCTGCTGCTGCTGATGATGATGATCATCATCATCGTCATCGTTCGTTCGTCCTCAGCATCATCTTCATCGTCATCGTCAGATTTATCATTATCGCTGTTCAGATATGGAAGCAGCACGACGGGGGCAGCAGCTGATGCAGCACACTTCTGGACATCTGGGAGTTCGAAGATCGGTAGGACGACAGCCACGGCATTGAGTGCCCATCTCATGGTCGGCGTATCCAGCAGTGCTCTGACAGAGTTAAGAACTTGCGCCTAGCGGTGGGTTTGGGCCCTTTGTGGACGTTTTGCTTGGCGCGCCCTCCCACTCGTATCTTGAGGGCTGCTTGGGCACCTGGTAGACGTTTTGCTTGGCGCGCGGTCCCACTTGCATCTTGAGGGCTGCGCCCTCTGCCACCGTCCCCATCTGCTCGCACTCGTATCTTAAGGCTGAGCCCTTCATGTCGGGTTTGGCCAGGACACCAGGTAAGGGGACCCTGTTAGTGGTAGGGCCCTGGAGCCCTTGAATGGGCCAGAATCGCTAAACCAGGTTTGCCATAGCTGGTGTTTTTTCGGGTGACGGCAATTCTGGTTAGTGGAATGGGTCGGGGGGGCGTCCCCGGTACAGATCACTAAAGCAGGTCCCACTAAACCCAGTTCTGCCAACGCCCGATCATGGGGCCGATCAGAGGTATCTTGGAGCATTTGGGGTCATCTTCTGGCCATCTTGGGCACTCCCGGGGCTATCCTGAGGCCTCTGGCGCCCGCCTTGAGGGGGCCGATTGGGCCCTCCCTGGGCCGTCCTGGAACATCCGGGCGGCATCTTGGGGCCATATTGGAGCCGTTTCGGGCAATCTCTGTCGGGGGTTCTGGGGGCCGCCCTGAGGCGGTCTTGACATCGAAGGAGCAGAACGTGGAAACGACACACACAAGACCTTGACACCGTTTGTGTGTCAAGGTCGCCTGCCCTCTCGGGGGTGTCTTGGGGCACTCCTGGTCCCTCTTGGAGGCGTCTTGGGCTCTTGAAGCGTCTTGGTCCCTCTTGGAGGCGTCTTGGTCCGTCTTGGAGGCGTCTTGGGCGTTTTGGGGCACTCCTGGTCCCTCTTGGAGGCGTCTTGGGGTCTGCCTTCCGCCGTCTTGGGCTCTTGGAGCTCTCTCGTGAGCCTTCTGGGTCCGGGTTCGCGGCCTCGCATGCTCTCCTGCCCGTGCGGCGGCGGCCCGCTGGCATCCTGCGGCCCCCTGGAGCGGCCAGAGACTTGAGCCTCCCTCCCGGGTGTTGCTTTTCTGCGCTTGGCATCGCTCGGACGTGTGCATTTTTCCTGCGGCGAGGACCATCGAGGAGCATCCTTGATCATTTCGCGACAAAAACCACGCACGAAACCGAAACAAACACAGGAAATGGACGTCCGAGCGATGGCCAGTGCGGAGGTGGGCTCCCGAACAGACCGTACAGTCAATCCGCACAGTAAGGATGGGCAACCCTCTCAAGGGCACCCTTGCATCCTGGCCTCCTCGGTCCATCCTTGGCCAGTTTCGTTGGCCGCGTTGTGCCCAAAAAGCTTCGAAATGGCCCTCCCAGTCCCTCGTACCCTTATCCCGCATCCTTCCTGTACGGGTTGACCGTGCAGCGCAAGCATCAGCACGAACGAAATGGGCACAATGCCCAGCAAACAGTTCCCGTTCATTTTGAGCAGGACTCGCTGTGCGCCGCCGCGGCTTTTTGCCCACTTGAGACAAGAAGCCGCCTGCCCAACAGCGGCCGCTGTCGGTTTGGGACAACATCTGTTGTTGGACCTCGTGCCCATTTCTTCCGTGCCCATTTCGGGCGTCCAAAAAGCAGGGCTGGAGCGACAAGGGACGCAAGCACACGGGACAACACACCAGAAAGCACGGCAGGAGTCCAGCAGCACCCCCCGCAGCCTGGCGCCCCTCAGGGGGCAGGCGGGTTCACGAGAGGGCTTGCATATCTGAACCGGCACTCGGTATTGTCAGCATTCTTGTCCTTAGTTTCGACGGCTCTGGGCGCTCCAGTTGATTCAAGCATTCGGAATTCACTTACGACCAGTAGTCCCCAACAGATATTGTTTGACATTCGCGCGCCGGCCCCGCACAATCGGGCCTTCACATGTGATGCAGCGCTTGCGGTCAAATCTGCCTTCTGGACAGCCTGGCCTTCTGGGGGCGAGCTTTGACTCGTATCCTTGCGAGTGAGCTAGTGCGGGTTTGATTGCTTGGCGTCGGCCCTTGTTCGCTTCATTGCACGCCGCTGGGGGTCTGGATCGAGCCCCAGCAGAATCCTATCAGGGCCAGCGCCTGTCCCGGGCGCCAGAGACATGTGCGCCGCCGCCGCCGACGACTTTGTCGCCGTCAGCAGCGTCATCGCAGGTCGGAGGCGTCGTCGTCGTCTTCCTGTCTGTCGTTGTCGTCGTTCGTCGTCGTCGTCGCCGTCGCCGTCGCCGTCGCCGTAGCCGTCGTCGTCGTCGTCGTTGTCGTCGTCGTCGTCGTCGTCGTCCTCGTCCCTGTCGTCCGTCGTCGTGGTCGTCGTCGTCGTCGCCGTTGTCGTCCGCGTCATTTTCCGGCGGCGGCGACGTCTTCATCGTCGTCGTCGTCGTTGCCGTCGTCGTCGTCGTCTTCGTCGGCATCGTCGTCGTCGTGGTCGTCGTCCGTCGTCGTCGTCGTCGTCGTCGTTGTCGTCGTCGTCGTCGTCGTCGTCGTCGTCGTCGTCGTGGTTGTCGACGTTGTCGTCGTTGTCGTCGTCGTCTTTGTTGTTGTCGTCGTCGCTGCGGGGGGGGTGGGGACGTGGTGGGGTGGGGTGGGTGTGGGGTTGGGAACTGTGGGCATTTTCAAATAAGTTTCCCGCCGGGGGGCGAGGGGGTCCAGACCTCCCGGCTCGTTGCAGGGGGGTGGGGGAGAGGTGGGGGGGGGGGGGAGGGCCCACTTGGCTTCTCACGCCGCACGATAGAGTTTGTTCAGGGCGACGACGGCGGATCGCGTTCCCCCCCGTCGCTCCCGAGCCCCCTCCGCTGCCCGCAGCTCGTGGACTCCGCGGCGGAGGCGTGCCCGGAGGTCGCCCAGGTCGCCGCGGCGGTGGAGGAGGCGGCGAGGCAGCGGGCGCCGCCGTGGGAGGGGGCGGGCGCGGATCGCGGGTCGATGCCCCCGGGGTTCACAGGAGGCAACTGTGCACCACCGCGCTCGTGCGGACAGCAACGGTTGGGAGCAGTAGCGAACGCAGGGATGTCGAGGGTGGCAGGAGCGTGGCCCCGATGGGGGCTCCTGGCGCCGCGGGCCCAGGAGGCGCACGAGAGGCCCACGCTCCTTTTCGCCCCACGTTGATCTTGGCATCGCTCGGACGTGTGCATTTTTTCTCGGCGGCGGCCATCGAGGAGCATCCTTGATCATTTGGCGAAAAAAACACGCACGAAACCGAACAAAAACACAGGGAGTGGACGTCCGAGCGATGGCCGGTGGGAGGGGGCGGGCGCGGATCGCGGGTCGACGCCCCTGGGATGCACAGGAGGCCACTGTGCACTACCGCGCTCGTGCGGACAGCAACGGTTGGGAGCAGTAGCGAGCGCAGGGCTGTCGAGGGTTGCAGGAACGTGGCCCTGCTCCTCCTCCTCCTCCTTCTCCTCCTCCTCCTCCTCCTTCCCTTCCCCCCCCCCCCATCCTCCTCCTCCTCCTCCTCCTCCTCCTCCTCCTCCCCCTCCTCCTCCTCCCAGGAGGCGCACGAGAGGCCCACGCTCCTTTTCGCCCCACGTTGACTGCCTCCCCTTTGGCGGGCACCCGACACGCCTGGCCGGGGCCCTGGCCAGGAGCCCAGGATGGTCCTGGACAGGCACGGTGGTTGTGTACGAGCGCCTTCTGCGAGCTGTGTGGGGGGAGTGGCCTTTGCGCGTCTGCGGCTTTCCCCAGGAAGCAGCGTTCTGATCAGACGTTGCTGGCTCTGTCCGCCTGGCAGCAACGCATGGGAACAAGCGTGCGCTTATTCGTCTGAAGACTGGGATCCACGGGGCCCCCAAAAAGCCGCTCACAGAAGGTCACTCTTACCCATGGCCGCTCCTCCGTTTTGCCGATCTTTCTGCTGCACTGTTCGAGCTGGATCGACCTGCGAGGGCCCCGGCGAGCACTCTTCCGTCGCAGCACGGCAGAGGCAATCCGCTCGCGCGCTCTAGTAATTGGGGCGAAGCATACTGGTGATCCGGCAGCAAGAGAGAGAGAGAGAGAGAGAAAGAGAGAGAGAGAGAGAAAGAGAGAGAGAGAGAGACAGACAGGGTAGACGGCAGCCGGGAGCAAGGGAGAAAGGGGGGAGGGCACAGCACGAAGGTCGTCGGCATGAGTGGCCAGTGCGGCTGGCAATTGCTGAGGCGTCTTGGCAGTGGACGTCGAGCGGCAGGCCAAGGCTGAGGCGTCTGGTGCGGCTGGCCGTTGCTGGGGCCGACACCAAGGGGAGAGGGGCGGCGAGGCCGAACTTCGTACTCGCCGGGGAAGCACGAATCGAACTTGTGAATCGTCTTATGTTGAGCAGCCGCAGTATCACGAACGTGTGGAAGGGTCTTATGGTGTTTTCATCATTTCGGATTTCCCTACCTCCGTACATGCGAGTGGCTGGGACGACGAATTTAGCAACCCCTCCCCCGGGATTCTCATCCCCCCCCCTGGGATTCTCATCAGGGGCGCGGGGTTGCACATCTCCCGCCCCAGGCCCGGCCCAGCCTTGGCCCGTGAGCGGTGTAGATGCCTCCCTGGCCAGGCCAGGAGGGCGTCCATGCCGCTCCTGGGCCCCCAGGGCGCGCCAGGCCTGGGGCCAGGGCCACCTCCCTCCTCCCCCCCTCCATCCCTCCCTCCCTCCCTCCTCCCTCCCTCCCTCCCTCCTCCTCCCTCCCTCCCTCCCTTCCGCCCCTCCTCCCTCCTCCTCCTCCCTCCCCTCCCTCCCTCCCTTCCTCCCTCCCTCCCTCCCTCCCTCCCTCTGCCCTTCGCCCTCCCTCCCTCCCTCCCTCCTATATCGACCTCGCCGCCCGGCAGGGGCGGGCTGCGCGACGGCGTGCGGGCCGCCGTGCTGGTGCTGGGCCGGGTGGCGGCGCTGGCCCGGGCGGGCGGAGGCCGCGCGGCCCGTTCGGGGGGGGGCCGCGCTCTTGCGGCGCCCGCGGCGTCGCTGGCGCCGCGGCGGGGGGGGCGGGCCGGGCAGCCGTCTTTCGGCACAGTGCGGCCACGAACCCTGACAAGTGAGCAGGGACCGACCGCCCCGGCATTCCTGTAGTCCTACCACGAAGTGTTCTTGGAACCTCACAAGGTTCGAATCACAAAAACATGGTTCTTGGAACATAAACCCTGATGTGTTCAAACAAGACAGTCCCCGCCAGAAATGCTCAAAGAGCATTTCGTGGAAACCACAAAAGGTTATTAGAACATTGTTTGGTGGGGCTATAGGCGAGCCGGGACGCTTCGCCACTGCTTGAAACAACACGCTGAGTTTGTGGTCCAGTCTGGGCCCACGGCTTGTAGGAATGCCCTCAAACATATGGGTGGGTGTGCCTGGCCCGTTTGCAAGCAAGAGACCTCCTATCACGAACGACTCCTCCTAAATTGGCTGCGCTCCCAAAGGATTATTGGGTTCTTCTATTGCTAACCGGGGCAGGCCAGACACTCCGAGCGACGAGGCACATCCGCATCTCATGGGGGGACCAGATACCGATACCGCTGCTCGTCCTGGAGAGCCCTCGTCGCCACGGTGGCATGCTCTTCAAAATCTGAGTCGGAGTGCACGCCGGAAGAGGTCCGGGAGAGGCAGTCTCGTTGCCTCAGCGTCCCCCCACCATCCGCAGCCGTGCCCTTGAGATCCAGGCGCGGCAATTATTGGCACTTCGCATGTCCCCACCAGCCCATCCGGAAGCGATCGCAGGAAGGAAGGAAGGAAAGAACGGACGAGGACAAGTCGGACGGACCTAAGATCGAGATAAGTCCGTTCCAGAGCGGCCTGGAACGGTCTCACAGCGTTCAGGAGCGCTCTGGAACGGCCGCGGCGCCTGATGATCCTTGAGCTAAAATTAGGGAACTATTCAACCTCCCTGGCGGAAGGGGTCATTTTACCTGCGTTGCCAACCCCCTCCGTGAGGGAAGGGGGTCGTCGACGCCTTTGCGATCGATTCTGGAGGAAACGCATGCCCCGCAAGCTAGAAGCGAACCGTTCACGTGATCGGCGTCGCGTCCACGAGCCTCATCCTTCTCCTCATCCCGCGCCTCAAACCTATTGCCCCACTCCCGTCGTGCTTCTCGTCTTGCTTTGAATCTCTGCGAACATCGGTTAATCTCGCTCCACCTCATCCTCCTCCTCATGCTCCTCACCCTCCCCTTTGTGCCCGTCATGCTGCATTTGTCTTCGTCCTCTTCTTTCATCCGCCCACGTGGCGGCAGTTTCACAGTTCGCAGCCCCCCAAAGACGGCGATGTTTCGCTTGGATCTGCGTGTGACGTCTCTCCGCTGGGCCTTTCGGTTGCCCGCGAAAGAGGCGGCATTTTTGCAGGTCGCGGCCCCCAGGGACGGCGAGGTCTCATTCTGATCTGGGTGAGACCGCCGCCCTCCGCCGGACCCCCCAGGGGCCCAAGAAAGTTTCGCAGCTCGCAGCTACGGAGAAGTCTCATTCTGATCTGCGTAAGAGAGCACTCCGCTGGACAGTTCGCAGCCCCCCCAGGGACGGCGAGGTCTCATTCTGATCAGCATGGGACGCCGCTCCGCTGGACCTCCCAAGGGCCCATGATAGTGGCGAACATTTCGCCAGTTCGCAGCCCCCCAGAGACGACGAGGTCTCTTTCTGCTGGGACATCCTTCCACTGGATTTCCCAGGGGCCCATGCAAGTTGTGACAATCATTCACTGCGCAGCGCCCCAAAGAGGGCGGGGTCTCATTCTTATCAGCGCAGGACGCCGCTCCGCTGGATCTCCCAGGGGCCCGCGAAAGCGGAGACCGCTTCGCAGATCGCAGCACTCGTGGGGACGGCGCGGCGTCGTTCGGAGCTGCGCGGGCCACCGCTCCGCTCCGGACGACCTCCCCATTTTGCTGGCCCTCGTGAGCACCCATGTCTCTTTCGCATCGCTCATGCGTCCGCGTCCGTCAGGCACACGCCTGCGAGCACATTCGTGGCTTCTCTCATAGTTTTTGTTTTGTGGAGGGGGCGGATACCGAAACTGAACACCACGCACACGTAGCGGGCTTGTCCTGCGAGCGTGGCCGAAACGCTTGCCGCAAGCTCGAACAGAGAGAAATGTGCCACCCTGGCCGTTCGCAAAATTCACTCTGCGGAGGGAGGGGAGAAAGAGGAAGGAGGAGGAGGAGGAGGAGGAGGAGGAGGAGGAGGCGGGAAAGCAAACCAAAACACCTGGAGCGGCGCAGGCCAACCTGCCATAGGCGAGCCGTTGCGCGCAGCCAAGGAATCGAGACTCTGGCAAAACTACATATCAGAGTGGGGGGGTCGAACGGTCTTACAATGTCCCTGGGTGCGCGGCTGCAGAGGGGATCCGCGGTGAGGACTCTGCTTGTTGTTGTCGTCGTCGTCGTCGTCCTCCTCGTCGTCCTCCTCCTCGTCGTCGTCGTCGTCGTCGTCCCCGTAGGTGCGTCGCGGCGCGGGTCCAAGAGGCCCCATGTCCAACTCCGAGTGGGACATGGCCATGGCCCTAGGAAGGGCCCAAGAGGGCCCCGAGAAAGTTTCCAAGAGGGCCCCAAGGCGATCCCAATAGGCCCCATGTCCAACTCCGAGTTGGACATGGCCCTGGCCCCAGGAAGGGCTCACGAGAGGCCCGAGACGGCTCCAGGAGGGCCCCAAGGCGGCTCCACGAGGCCCCGTGTCTCCGAGCTGGACATGGCCATGGCCCTAGGAAGGGCCCAGGAGGGCCCCAAGACGTTTCCAGAAGGGCCCCAAGACGGCTCCAGGAGGCCCCGTGTCCAACTTCGAGTTGGACATGGTCATGGCCTTAGGAAGGGCCCAAGAGGGCCCCAAAACGTTTCCAGAGGGGCCCCAAGACGGCTCCAAGAGGCCCCATGGCCAACTCCGAGTTGAACATCCCCGTTTCCTCCGAGTTGCACATGGCCATGGCCCTAGAAAGGGCCCAAGAGGGCCCCAACATGTTTCCAAGAGGGCCCGAGGAGGCCCCCAAGAGAGCCTCAAACCAACTCTAAGGCATAGAGTTGGTTTGGGGCCCTCTTGGGGGCCTCTTGGGGCCGTCTTGGGGCCCTCTTTGGGCCTTTCTGAGGGCCCTGGGAAGGGCCCCCACATGCCCCAAGCGGGCTCCAAGAAGCTCGAAGAGGGCCCCAAGAGGCCCCAAAGAGGGCCCCGAGATCGATCACGCGAGAGAGGCTTCGCGTGACCGCTCTTGAGGCACTCGTGGGGCCGTCTTGGGGCCCTCTTTGACCCTTCCGAGGTCCTGGGGAAGGGGCCACCAGGGCCCCAAGAGCGCTACAAGAAGGCCCCAAGAGAGCCCCACGAAGGGCCCAAGAGCGCATGTCGTGTGCATGTCGTCGTCGTTCTTGACCCCATGGCCACGACATGCGCGATAAGAGCCCTCTGGGGGTCTCTCGGAACCTGCTTGGGGCTATCTTGGGCCCCTTTGGGAGCCGTCTTGGGGTTCTCTTGGGCCCCCTGAGGGCCCCGGGAAGGGTCCGAGAGGGTCCCGAGAGGGCTCCAACAGGCTCCAAGAGGGCCCCGAGAGGCCCCGAGGAGGGCCCCGAGATCGGTCACGCGAGAGAGGCTTCGCGTGACCGCTCTGGAGAGGTCCTTTGAGCCGTCATGGGTCTCTCTTGCTTGGCATCGCTCGGACGTGTGCATTTTTTTCGGCGAGAACCATTGAGGACCATCCAGGACCATCGAGCAAAAACAAACACGCACGAAATCGAAAAATGCACGGGAAATGGACGTCCGAGCGACGGCAAGCTTGGGCCCCCTCCGAGGGTCCTGGGAAGGGCCCAGGAGGGCCGGAGTGGGCCTGAGAAGGGCCCTTCCTTTTGTGTCGCAGGGGCCGAGGGGTCGCGTGCGGGTCGCGAGGATCGGTCGTCCCATTTGGATGAGTACGTTTGTAATGGTGAGGGGCAGCATGGGTATCCCGAAAGACTATGTCTTCGGATACGTCGGGGTGAGCAAGGTACCGAAAAGCGGCGGCACCACAGGGGAAAGAAATAAGCTCTCCCCGGTCGTCTCTCGGATGCTCAGGAGTCGCAGGGATAAGAGCGTAAAGGCTAAGACCCGCCGTGAAGACTACGCCGCTTTGCGTGCAGCTGTCGACTCCATGACGCGAGTGGTCGAATTGTGAGTTCCGTTGGGCTGCAATTCCTGATCGGTCTTCACGGTCGGATCGGACCTCTGGTTTCCTGTCCTCTTTCTTGGCCCGCAGCCCCTGCTTACGCTCCTCGCTGTGCAGCGCAGCCGAGGGGCGGTCCAACGAGAACGGGAGTTTCTCTGGGCGAGTGCAGTGGGCATCGTGCTGCGCGTACCCTACCTCGGGATGGACAAAGGGCATGAACGACACGCCGACGTCGGTGGCCCGTCGGCGCTTTGCTTCATCGTGCTCGTCCTGAGGCATGGTTCACTTCCACAGCAACACGCCGATGGGTTCTCCCCAGCGGCGGCGTGTCCTCCATATGTTTTTGTTTCGCTCCCACGCTGCCCCTTCCTGCGAAAGACGGGCAGCTCCGCATGCGAGGGCGCAAGCAGCGCTCCTCTTGGTCATTGCGGGACGGGACAATGACCACAACCTCTGCTTCCTGTTTGCGCCGCCCTCCAGCCGGCCGAAAAAGAAGCAGTGGTTCTGGCCATTTCCCTGGTGCCACGCTTAACGAAAATGACCACAGACACTGCTCTGCTTCTGCTGGCTGGAAGGCGGCAGCGAAAGAAAAGCAGTGGCTGTGGTCGCTTTCGCGTCCCGTAGGCATCGATCCTCGATGCTGGCCGCGCCACCCCGCGATCCCCGACGGCGACCACGGCGAAAAAGCTGCACTCCTTATCCTGCAGCACGCTGCGGGGTCTCCCCGGTCAGAACCCGTACCGCCGCATCGCTTCGGTCGTAGCCACCGTCGTCCGACCCGTCCGTCGTCGTTGGCGTGGTCGTCGTCGTCGTGGTTGTGGTCGTTTTCGTCGTCGTCGTCGTCGTAATGATCGTCAACGTCGTCGTCGTCGTCGTCGTCGTCGTCGTCGTCGTCGTCGTCGTCGTCGTCGTGGTCGTGGTCGTCCACGTCGCCGTCCTCGCGGGCCGCTGCCCGAGGCGGCGACGTGGACTTCGTGGTGCCCGCCCTGGACAGCCTGGTGCGCGTCTTCCACCGCCCCTTCGTCGCGCACGTGAGGCTCGGACGGCGCGGGATGGGCTGCGCCGGAGTCTCGAGGCCGCTCGCGTCGCATCTCGCCGTGTGGGCTCCGGTGGCCCTCCTCGCCGCCGCGGCCGGGCGCGGTTCCGGAGGCAGGCCGGGGTGGGCCCCGGGAGCGGCCCACTCGGACAGCGGCGGCGTGACATGATCTTCTGGGAGGGCCGCGCGCGTGTCCCAGATCGGCGTCCCTGGCGGCGCCTCCGACCTCCGAGAAGGTATGATTCTGATTTGTTGGTCGTTCCTCCAAAATGGGGGGGTGGGGGGGGGGGGGGGCGATGGTTGGGAGGGCGAAGAAGGGGCACCTTTTGCGCCCCAGGGGGCCCCATCAGGGTGCTTTCGGGTCCCCTCTGGGGCTCCGCAGGTGCAAGACGCCGTGCACCTTTCTTCACTCTCCCGTTGATCGCCCCCCCCCCCCCCCCCCATGGCGCAATGTCCGATCATGGCCTTGCTGCACACTCTGGGGCTCCATCCAATGCTTATGCGCTCATGGAGACCCTCAGTGTGTTCCAGCCGCCGCCCCCTGGGCCGCCTTCCCCCATCGAGTCACGAGCCAAGTGGGCCGATGCCCTGACCCTGCGTGGGGCTCCTGCGTCTCAGTGCCCAGCCAGACCCGAAGGGGCCGCAGGCTGGGGTTTTGGGGGGATGCCCATCACCAAGAGCAGGTGGACTACCCAGCCGAGACTGATTTTTCGCATGTTTTACATCCCACTCTAAACGATGCTACGCACGCTGGCCTACCCCGAGGGTCGCCCTGCGTTTACCTCCCAGGCGTCAGTAGCAGGAGTTCCTCGACCCAGCCTCTTTACGCCAGATTGCAATGGAAAGTCGCACGGAGCCGCCTGGAGGCTCCCAGTGGCTGAACTCAGGGGTCAACGCTGTGCCTTCTCGTCCTCCTCCTCCTGCTCCTCCTCCTCCTCCTCCTCCTCCTCCTCCTCCTCCTCCGTCCCCCTCCCCCCTGAAGGTAGTCAACATGCAGCGCGGCCCGCAGGATCCTACCCATCACCGTTACCGGGATGCGCACTGGCGCGGCACCGCCGCCGACTTCTGTTCCGTGGGCCCCCCAGCGCTGCAAAGGTCCGCCGGCTGGACCGAATACCCCAGATTTCGTAGTACAAGGGAGGGGGTCTGGACCCTCCAAGACAAGCTATTTCAGACCTCCCCCGTGGGAGAACCCTCTAAAACATCGTCCCAAGACCCCCCCAGGCCCTCCAAGATAGCTTGGCAAAGACCCCCCACGAAATGAGACCGCCCTCCCTTTCTTACGAAATCTGGAGTACGCCAAGGGTGCTGGCTCAGGGATGGTTTGCTGGCAGGGCTCGCCCGCAGCCTCCCCGGCGCTCTGATATTTCGGGGTCGGCCTGCGGCCTCCTCTGCCCGCGGGCTTAGCACCACTGCAGCGGGCGCACGCCTGGCAGCTGGTCACGCCAGTCCTGGTGTGTCACTCGGGTCGGGCGAAAGGGGGGGATTGGGAGAGGGGGGGTTACGAAATTTGCTGCATGCAGCTGGTTTCGGCCTCACCGAGGGGCCCATTCCTCGGTACATAGCCGCCTGCGGCGCCGGGAGGCGCCGAGAAGATCAGCTACGTGAGCTGATTCTCAAACCCCCCCTTTGCTATCCCCCCCTTTCGCCCGACCCGAGTCACGGACCCGACCGCTGAAGATCAGACTCGCTCTGTGGTGGGCTGTGGCTGTGGCAGAGCGTTGTCCAGCGAGCTCCTCGCATCTGAAGCTCGCCTGTCTGTCATCCGATGTTGCAGCGGCTTCGGCCGTCCTGCAAGGCACTGCCAGTTGATGCGGTGTCCAGCATGCCTTTTCGTTGCGCATGCATGTGCCCTCAATCAGTGCCAGGAGGAGTGACTACACCGTCAACGCTGGCTGGATCAGCCCAAAGATGTTGCGCTAGTTTCAAGTCCTCGCCGTGCCACCTCTGATGCTTTCCCAAAGATGCAGGTGGACGCCTAGAACGGTTGAGTGCCCTTCAAGCTAGGCTGCCTTTCAAGCCTTCGGCATGCTTACCTGGGCAGTTTCCTCGGCCTACCTCAAGCTGAGGACACCGTTGGTTCATTCTAGCATGCTGTGCTCAGCCAGACGCTGCAGCTGTCAAGTCAATGGGGGGATGCGGACGATATGAGAGAACGGCAAAGAGGAGGAGATATTCAGGGAGGGATTGTATAGGAACATTGATGAGCGGTTGTCAGGGTAATGTCTGACAGAGGAGGATGCAGGCATGAAGGGAAACTGGACACATAATAGCAGCATGTGATGAGGAGAGGGAGGAATACATGAGGGAGGATGCGGAGATGGATAAGGACGGACGGTGGCATAAGTAGGGACGAGGGGGAGTTGGCGGATCATGAAGGAGAGGGGGAGGGGGAGAGATGAATACGATAGGTACGAGGAGAGGTGCGAGAAGGGATGCGGAACAGAGTGAAGACGGAGTGAACAGGATGATGACGAGGAGCAACATCAGCAACAGTAAGAGGGATGATGGGGGCCGGGGGGTCATGGAAGGAGCAGTGAGGGATGACATGGGGATGGGCCGCAACAGGAGGGCAAAGAGGGTTTGGAGTGGAGGAAAGACTGCTGGAACAGGAGGAGTAGGGAGGACAGGGGGGAGGCGAGGAAGGGAGACAAGACGGAGGACACTGGGAGGGACTGAAGGGTTTGAAAGTTGGAAACAAGGGAGGGAGGGTGGAGAAGAAGGAGGAGGGATGGAGGATGAAGGATGGAGGCTGGAACCGAAAGGGGGGGTAGAGGAAGACGCCGAAGAGGCGACGACGACGACGACGACGTGGTCGTCATGAGGGCGACGGCTCGCCTGGCGGCCGCAAGGACGACGACGACGATGACGACGACGACCATTATGACGATGGTGACGACCACGACCACAACGACCACGGCGACGATGACGACGACGACGACGGTGGGCGACCACCACGACGACGACGATCACAACGACGACGGCGACGACGACGACGACGACGACCACGACGGCGGCGGCGGCGACGGCGACGGCGCCAGCCGCCAGGAGCTCCTGGACGAATCTGCAGCGGTGGCGGGAGGCGGAGGCGAGAGTCGGGCTGCCCAGGCTGGAGGAGTCCTTGGCTGTCCTCGTCGTTGTCGCCGTGGTCGTCGTCGTCACCGGCGTCGTGGTCGTCGACGTCGTCGTCGTCGCCCGCCTCGTCGCCGTCGTCGCCGTCGTCGTCGCCGTCGTCGTCGCCGTCGTCGTCGTCGAAATCGAGCCGGTCGGGCTTTTCTCGGGCCCCCGGGGCTGTCGGGAAGCGGCCTGGGATGGGCTGCCCGCCCCAGGGAAGGGCCGAGAGCTCCAAGGGGTCAGGCGACGTCACAAGGCGTGACGTCGGAGGCCTGGGTGACGCGAGTGCCCTCCCGCTCCTGCGTTCCGCGGCCGCTCTCCGCCTCCCTCCGAGGGGGACGAAGGATGACGCGATACCGGAGAAAAACCCCAGTCAGGGCTATAGGGCCAGGGGGCTATAGGGCTATAGGGCTATTGAGCCATGGGGCTATAGAGCTCTAGGGCTGCAGAGTTGTGGGGCGGGCTATTGGGCTATAGGGCTATAGGGCTATAGGGCTATAGGGCACCCCCGGGCACCCCCGGGCACGCCCGGGCACGCCCGGGCACGCCCGGGCACCCGTGCACCCGGGCACCCCTGGGCACCCCCCGGGCACCCGGGCCCTGGGCACCCCCGGGCACCCGGGCACACGGGCGTGCAGCGAAAATCGGCGACAAACCCAACCTAACCATATGAATCCGCTGGGACCCCTGCAGAGGCAAGCTCTGATTGGGCAATAATCATAAAAACTCGGAGGTCCGCGCGGATTTCTCGGATCCACGCTGGCGCCTCAGGCGCCGCCTCTGGCGCGCTCCGCGCGCCAGGGAGGGGGGTCCAGCGCCGATCCGAGAACTCCGCGCGGATCTCCGAGTTGGTATGTCTATGTCATGCTTCGTTCCGCCTCCCTCCGCCCCTCGTACCGCCGGCCAATGCGTGCGCCATGTGTCCTGGGCCATGGGAGCGCGCGTGCGGATGGCCTCTGCCGCGCTGCGGCGAGAAGAGCCCGGGGCCTGGGAGGGAGGAGGCAGGAGGGAAATGGTAGCCCCGCCAGGGAGCCGCGAGGTCTGTCCGGTTCGGAGGTGCGTATGACACCACTGTGGGGCACCTCCCAGGAACCCAGGAAGGGGGCTCATCCTCCTCCTCCTCTTCCTCCTTCTCCTCCTCCTCTTCCCCCTCCTCTTCCTCCTCCTCCTCATCCTCCTCTTCCTCTTCCTCCTCCTCCTCTTCCTCTTCCTCTTCCTCCTCCTCTTCCTCCTCTTCCTCCTCCTCTTCCTCTTCCTCCTCTTCAGTCGCCCAGGAAGTGGGCTACAGTTGTGCTGATGGCAGCAACCCCCAGGGAGCCGTGAGGTCTGGTTCGGAGGTGCGTATGACACCACTGCGCTGGGCCCCCTATGAGCTTGCGACAATGATGACGGTTGCGCAGGTGGCAGCACCCACAGGGAGCCGAGAGGTCTGGTTCGGATGTGCGTATGAGACCACTGCCGTGGGCCTCCCAAGGTTCCACAAAGAAGTGGAGGCGGTTGCGTTGGTGGCAGCACTGCTCCGGTAGCCGCGAGGTCTGGTCTGGATGTGCACCACTGCGTTGGGCATCCTGGGAGCCCACGAAATTGGCGACGGTGACGATTTTGCCCACCGCTGCGCAGTTGGAAGCATGCAGGCAGGAGGCAGACTGCAAGAGAAGGAAGGGGGGAGAATAATGAGGAGACGCGAAAGCAGTGCTCAATTGAAAACTAGAGACCAGCGCGGGAAGGTTGAGGAACACGCCCGCCCGCCCGCAAAGGGGGCTGGCGCATGGACTCAGAGGGCATGCACAAGGGAGAGGGATATACAAACGATGGTCGCACCAGCTCCTTTGATCAGATGTTGTTCGGATGGCCGTAGTCGTTGTCGTCGTTGTGATCAGGGTGCTTGTTGCTCTGCTCTTGTGTGCCCTGGCCGGGCGCGCCCCGCTTGCCTACATACGCGCTCGCGTCCGCCAGCGCTGCCGACAAACAGGTTGCTCTGCTCTGGATTTGTTCCCCTTCTGCAGTGACCACCCGCCACCACCATCCTAAATCTTACCGCTGACGCGCACCTCAAGACGCACCGCCTTCTTGCTGCGCAGGCCCATAGGACCCCCATCACCCCTCCAGCAGCAGCGAGCAAAAGCGTGTGGGCTCTGGAGAAAACGTACGTAGGTCGTCGAGCTCCGTCGTTTCCTGCATGCCGTGGCCCGCGTTATATGTGTGAGCGCGCCGGTTCGGAGCCCGATCTGGGCCCCGAAGGGGCTGGAAAGCCTCGCGTTCCTTGCCTTCGCCCTTCCGAGCGCCGCTGACGTTGTAGACCTCCGTCGGTCCGTTATCCTCGACCCCCCGCCCCCTGACCTCTCGCGACCCCTTTCCCCTGGCATCGCTCGGACGTGTGCATTTTTTTTCTCGGCGAGGACCATCCAGGACCATCCTGGACCATCGAGCAAAACAAAAAAACACACACGAAACCGAACAATGCACGGGAAATGGACGTCCGATGGGTTCCCAATAAGATCTGGATGATTGTCGATCGACAAACCTGGATTTTCATGGAACCAATCGCGGATTTCAGGGTGGGGTTTCTTGCGGATGTTTCTTGTGGCCGAGCCCCCGTTGTAGGGGAGGAGCAGACCCCGCCCGCCCAGCTGGCCAGGGCGAGGCTCTGACTCCCAGGGCGCCGGGGCCCGATCCTCTGCTCCTGCTCACGACGGAGCTGTCGCCATCAGGGTGAAGACCTTGCAGGGCACCGCTTGTAACGACGACCGCGACGACGACGACGACGACGGCGACGACGGCGACGACGGCGGGCACGGCGTCGGCGACGACGGAGGCGACGAGCACGGCGGCGACGATGTCATCAGCACAAGCAGTATCTTGGAACGCACTTTCACAGTGGAGTCGCGGGCGTTTGCGTAGAATGTGTTCGAGAGGGGCTTGCCGAACGCGGGGAATGTTTTCTGAGCTTGTTCTGTTGGCTGCTACAGGCGATGAAGCTGGTAAGTCTTCGGGTTGCGCGCAGACATTCCTCCAAGGAAGTCTGGCTGGCCTCAGTAGGCCCCCCCGAGCAGTCCCAGCTGGCCTCACAGCCCCCCTGAGTAGTCTGAGGCGATCCCATAACACCCCGACCCTGTGGCGCGGAGCACCCAGGTCGGGTATAGCCAGGACCCCGGGTAAGGGGACCCGGTTAGTGGTAGGGCCCTGGGGCCCCTCAATTGGCCAGATTCACTAAACCAGGTTTGCCGTAACTGGTGTTTCTCGGGTGACGGCAGTTCCGGTTAGTGGAACTGGAACGGGGGGGCGCCCCCGGTACAAATCACTAAACCAGGTTCCACTAAACCCAGTTCTGCCAACGCCCGACCAGGAAACGCCGCCCGAGGCGGCGCCGGGGTGCTGAGATCTGCCTGGGCTACTTGGGGGGCCTGCTGAGGCCAGCTGGGACTACAGTCGGGGCGCTGAAGAAGGAACCCTTTTCGTTGGGGAGGGGCTCCGTGTTCCTTGATTGTTCCACAGCTTGCCTTAGGTTTTCCTTGGGTTTTCGATGGAGAATCGAATTTTAATTGATGGGAAAAAGGGGCCTCGTTCCTTATTTAGGGTTCCTTAGGTCAACGTCCCGACTGTACTCGGGGGGCCCGCTGAGGCCAGCTGGGACTTCCTCTGCGGGGAGGGGGTCTGTCCGTGCGCAGCCCGAAGCCCTGCCAGGCGACGAAGCCCTGCCACAGGACTTTGTATCGCTCGGACGTGTGCAGTTTCCCTTCGGCGAGGACCATCGAGGAGCATCCTCGATCGTTTGGCGAACAAGCCACGCACGAAACCGAAAGAGGCACTGGGAATGGACGTCCGAGCGATGGCCAGTGCCGCAAGACCATCGAGCAAAAAGAAAACACGCACGAAACCGGAAAATGCACGGGAAATGGACGTCCGAGCGATGGCCGGTGCCGCAAGACCATCTAGCAAACAGAAAAAACGCACGAAGCCGAAAAATGCACGGGAAATGGACGTCCGATGGGTTCCCAATAAGATCTGGATGATTGTCGATCGACAAACCTGGATTTTCATGGAACGAATCGCGGATTTCAGGGTGGGGTTTCTTGCGGATGTTTCTTGTGGCCGAGCCCCCGTTGTAGGGGAGGATGCACGGGAAATGGACGTCCGAGCGATGGCGAGCGAAGCCCTGCCGCAGGAGCACCCGCCGCTGCTGGGCTGCGTCGCCCGGGGGCTGCTGACGAGCCTGGCGCTCGTGCCCGAGGGCTCTCCGCAGGCGCGCCGCGGCGTGCTCTCCGCCCCCTCGGCAGGGCTTCGCGCGGTGCGGGGCCTCCTTCTCCTCCTCTTTCTCTGTCCTCCTCTTCCTCCTCTTCCTCTCTCCCCCTCCTCCTCTTCCTCCTCCTCCTCCTCCTCCTCCTGGTCCTCCTGGTCCTCCTCTTCCTCCTCTTCCTTCTCCTCCTCCTCCTCCTTCTCCTTCTCCTCCTCTTCTTCTGTCCTCCTCCCTCTTCCTCCTCCCTCCTCCTCCTCCTCCTCCTCCTCCTCCTCCTCCTCCTCCTCCTCCTCTTCCCGCCCGTGCGCGCCGGGCACGGCCGCTCCTCTCGATGGGGGTCGCGGATCTGCTTCGCGACGTGTCGCCGCGCCGCTTCTTCCGACGCGCGGCCGCGCGTCTTGGCGAGAGGACGGCCCCAGACATCCGACGTCGCGATTTCTTCGAGGCACGGGCCCCCGACCTATCCCGATCACTTCCCCGGGACCGGTCTTTCACTCCGAGTCGTTTTGTGACGGTCTCGAGGCCCGGCGAGGGCCCCGAGAGGCCGAAAATGACGAAAAACCTCCGTCTCGATGTTTTCGAGACGCCCGATCGTCTGGGGCCCGTCGCCGCCCGGTCTCCGGGAGCCCCGGAGTGCCGCCCTGCATGGGCCGACTTCCGTGGCCTCGAGCTGGCCCGAAGCCGGAGGAGTCGGGGGCGGCAAAGAGGGGGGTGATGACTAGGGGGGGGTGGATATCATGGCGGGGGCCATGATATCATGGCGGGGGCCATGACTAGGGCGAGGAGGAAGAGGTGGAGGAGGAGGACGAGGACGAGGAGGATGAGTGGGATAAACAGGGGTCCTCGGGTCCCACCTCTGCCGTGTAAAGGGGGGCCTGTCAAGGCCGCCCGGGGACCCTCACCCCACAGGCCTGCCGTGGTCGGGTGGTCGGCCCTCCCACAGACATCCTTCGGAGGCGGAAAAGAGGGGGGTGATGGCTACGGGGGGGGTGGATATCATGGCGGGGGCCATCGTATTTCCCAGATTTCATGGCGCCTCTTCTTGTTTCATTACGTCCCTGGCCCCCCCGCTGGGCCGCGCACACGCCGCCGGTCATGATGTGCACCCCCCCCCTCTTGGGCACCCCCGTCTTGGCCGCTCCCGGAGGAGGAGCAGCGAAACGCACGACGGGAGAGGTGCGTGGCGGCTTTCGCGGCCTCCCGGGGCCCTCGCCGCGCCCCGGCGCTGCTGCCCTTGCCGCCTCTTTCGCCTCTTCGGGGCCTCCTTGGCGGCCCTTGTCGCCACCGCTGAAGTTATGTGGGATCTTCTACGAAGAATGCAGAAAGTACCCCAAACTTGCCCCAAAAAGGTCAAACTATGTTTTCACAATAGTTCCCTGATTATTTTTTTGGAGAATTATTTTTTTGTTCTTATTATTTTTGGTGCATCTTTATTTTCCATCGAAAAATCCCCCTGTAGGGGGACAAGCCCGACTTAATGCTGGAGTCGCCTCGAAGTTCTGTTCAGGGCGCACCCCGGGGGAGCAGCGGGAGCGGGGCCTCTCTGCCTCCCTGGGCCGTGTCTTTGGTTGATGGCTTGCAGTTGTCAAGCAGTGGCGAAGCGTCCCAGGTCGCCTATAGCCCCACCAAACAATGTTTTGAGAACCTTTTGTGGTTTCCACGCAATGTTCTTAGAACATTTCTGGCTGGGACTGTCTTGTTTTAACACATCGGGCTTATATTCTGAGAACATTGTTTTTGCTCTTAGAACATGTTCGGGTTCTAAGAACATTTTGTGCTAGGACTATAGGAATGCCGGGACGGTCGGTCCCTGCTCAAAGCTGGCACGAGGGTCAAGCAAGATTTGGCTCCGAGCGATCCCCACCCAGGAGCGCAGGGAGGGGCACCCCGGGAGCACCAGGCCTTCGGGGAGCTGGCGGCCGCGGCGTGCGGTCGTCGTTCGTCGAGGGCGCGAAGCGGGACACCCAGGGAGCACCTGGACCCGTGGTGCCTGGTGGTCGCGGCATGCAGGGTGTGCGAGACGGGCCGGGTGTTTCTTATATGCAAAAGCAGTCGGGCACATGGTTAAGAGCCCTCCTCGCGAAACGCTGTGCCAGCGTGTCTTGACCAACTTGCCAGACATCGGGCCCCGTTTGGTTGAGCACGTTAGCCCTTCCAGCGTTCGCAGCAGAAGTTGGCCCAGGCTTGCTTCAAGAAACTTCTGGGAAGTTGGTCCATATTTCTGTTTTAGAAGTTGTTCGATTGTCGGTTCTCGTACCTCTAACAAGTTTAACCTGTCGGGTGGGGAGCATCCCTAGATTTGAAAGAGCGTGTTCTACCGCTGCTGGCGGAAAACCGGGGGGGGGGGTCACTACCTGTTCGAACCCCTCCTCCCCCCCCCCTTTGGAAAACCGGGGGGGGTCACTACGGGTTCGAACCCCTCCCCCCCCCCCCCAGTTCATCATGAACAGGGGGGGGGGTCACTACCAGTTCGAACCCCCCCCCCACCCCTCGAAAACCGGTGGGGGTCACTACTGGTTCGACCCCCCCCCTCGAAAACCGAGTGGGGGTGCGGACAGTGGTGGGGACGGTGTTGGTGGGGACAGTGGTGAGGGGACAGCGGGACAGTGGTGGGGACAGTGGGACAGTGGTGGTGGGGACGGTAGTGGTGGGGACAGTGGTGGGGACAATGGTGGGAACAGGGGGGACAGTGGACAGTGGTGGGGACGGTGGTGGTGGGGACAGTGGTGTGGGGACAGTGGGAATGAGGTGGAAACAGTGGGACAGTGGAGGGTACAATGGTGGTGGGGACAGTGGTGAAGGCGGTGGCGAGGACGGCGGTGGGACAATGGGACAGAGGTACAGTGGGGACAGTGGTGGGGACAGTGGGGACAGTGGTGGGAACAGTGGGACAGCTCAGTGGGACAGCGGAGGAGTCAGTGGGACAGTGGGGACAGTCGGGCAGTGGTTGGGGCCGTGGAGACAGTGGGGAGAGTGGAACCGTGGTGGGAACAGTGGTGGGGACAGTGGGGACAGTGCGACAGTGGTGGGGGCACTGGTGGGGACAGTAGGGACGGTGGTGGAACCAGTGGGGACAGTGGTGGTGAGGACAGTGGTGCTGGGAACAACAGTGGGGGATGTGATGCGGACGGTGGTAGGGACCGGGAGTCGTTTGCTGGCGGTGCGTGGGGGGAGGGGGGTCGAACCGGTAGTGACCCCCCCCGGTTTTCGAGGGGGGGGGGAGGGGGGAGTTCGAACCTGGTAGTGACCCCCCCCGGTTTTCCGATCCTCCGGAGGGGGGGGGGGAGGGGTTCGAACCGGTAGTGACCCCCCCCGGTTTTCGAGGGGGAGGGGGGGGGGGGGGGGAGGGGTTAGGGGAGGGGGGGTTTTGCCGGGGGAGGGGGGGGGGGGTCCAGCAGGGGGGGGGGATTTTCGGAGGGGGGGGGGGGCGACCCCCGGGCTCCAGAGGAAAAGGTGGGCAATTTTCCACAGTAAAGCGGCGGTGGATCACGCTCTCTCCTAGATTTGGAGGCTGGGTCGTATCTTCTTCGTGTCTGGGCCCTGCACTGTGGGAGGTTCGCTTATTTGGGTACCTTCACTTGGGTGCCATCCAAGTGCAAAGAACTGGATGAGCAGGAACTTTTCGCGGTCCGCGCGGGTTCTGTGGGTCGGCGCTGGGCTGCACCCTGGCGGCGTCTCCAGGGCCGCACTTGGTGAGCTTGTACTGCCAAGGGGGAGGCGGGTACAGCGCCGAGCCAAGAACTCCGCGCGGAGCTCCGAAAGTTTACGTTTATTCCGTTTTCCGTTTTTTTCTCGCTAGGCCAAGGTGATGACGGCCGGTGATGATTGCAGTTTTGGCGGTCATCATTGCCTAGACAGCTTCTTTCAGAGTGACAGATTCGACAGTGAACATAGAAATCGGCTCTCGGAGAAAAGTGCCTCCTAGTATGAGTGGGTGCGACGGCAACGAGCAAGCCGCCATGGGCACAACTTCGAGCCCTATGTTGTTATGTGAGCGTGGCCCGCCTCAGATGCACCCGTGGCTGCGTTCCCACTGCGGCTTCGGAGATAAACAAACGACGACGGCCACGTTCGTCGAAGTTCGAGGATCGAGCTGTGTGGTTGATCCTCCTGATTGTTCTTGTGCCCCTGGAGGCCTCCAGGCCGAGGCTCGCTCCGCTTGCGCAGCGCCGGCGACCCGCGACAGCCACCTCGCAGTGCCGCCGTGTCCGCGTGCGTGTAGGCCTTGCTTCCCCCGCCGCTCGCGTGAGCGCAGATACCACGGCGTGTGGCATCAGATGCTTGTTGTGTTCGCGCTGCCCGACTCGGCCGACGCAGCAATGATATCTGCTGGTGCGGCTGCGACGTGGGCCACCTGGCCCGACTCGGACACGAAGTCAGAGCCCCGAATCATCAGGGGTAACTCGGGTCAGGGTTAACTCGGGTTCGTTTTTCGGGAGTTCGAACCCGAGTTATCCCGGACCCGAGTTACCCCGGATATTTCGGGCGTCCAGAGCCCCGAATCATCAGGGGTAACTCGGGTTAGGGTTAACTCGGGTTCGTTTTTCGGGAACCCAAACCCGAGTTACCCCGGACCCGAGTTACCCCGGATAACTCGGGCGTCCAACGAAGGTCTGGGTCTGCGGTCCGCGGGTCGCCTATTGCAGGTTGCCCGCGCCCGCCGTCGCCGCCCCTGCCCCCCCCCCGCTCCTGCCCCTCCCCTCCCTGGGCCGCTGACCTGTAGGAAACCCTGGACAAAGTCCCAGGCGTCCTGGCGGCAAGGGTAGATCGGGGGCCCCCGACCGGCGTGATGCCCACGCCGCGTGGTGAGCCACGGGGGGGCTCGGGGTCCCCGCGCGGTTGTGGAACTGGGGGGCCCTTCTCCGAGGGCGCCTCGGGCGACCGGCGCCCCGAGGCCCCGAGACCGTGCTGCGACGGACCGCGCGGTGAGGTCGATGGGGCTTCCGAGGTCACCACCCGGTCCTTCGCCACACGGCTTGCGGGGGCCTCGGAGGAGATCTAGGCGGCCGCGCCGCCTCGCTCGCCCGAGGCTTCTCCGAGGCCCGCCTCGGGGCCCGCGGCCGCCCGACGACAGGACCTGGGCTGCAGAACTCGCAGGGGCTCGGGAGCTTCAGGGATCTCCAGTCACCACCCACCAAGCCACCCCAACCCAACCCGAAGGCTCAGATTTACCCTCGATTTCTAGTAGAGGGGGTCGGGGAACATAGAGAAAACACGCGTGGAACCCGTACCCCCCCCAACCCGAAATTCGTGGCTTCGGGTTGGGTTGGGGTGGTCTGGCAGGTAGTCATCCAGGGACTGCAGGAGCGGCTCCAGGGCCCAGGGGCCGTCCAATCACGGCCCCGTGCTAAAAGAGTTTGCCCCGGCGGCGCAGGGGCGGAGCCCGCGGCCCCCTGGGAAGCCACGACGCCGGAGGCCTGGAGAGTCGGTGCTTTGCATCGTGTTCGGACGTCCGCGGACGGCCGCTGGCATTTCTTCCTCCTCCTGGTTTCTCCGCCCCCGTTGCCTCGATCCTCGTGGTTTACACAGCCTGCCTGGGCCTCCGGGGGGCCTCCCGATACCTGCGTAGCCACCGCCGTCCGCGGTCGTTCGAATTTTTTGTTCACGCGTGTGTTCCTCGGCCTCCCAGGTGTGCTTTTTCGTTCCCGGCCTGCAGCGTTGAGCAAGGGCGCCAATGGAAGGCGGGAGATGACGAGGACATGGAGTCGGCTCCAGAGGCCCCAAGACACAAACGACGCCATCGTCAACATCCTCGTCCTCAGGGGCGGCGAAAGGCGAGATTGGCTCAGGTGGTGAAGGTTGATTACGAGGGTGAAGAAGCCCTCGCTGCCACCGCGTCGAGCGGCGGATTTTGCGCGCGAGTTCTGGGTTTTGTTTCTTCAGATGGGGATCCAGAGAATCGCGTCGCCATCAAAACAGTCGTTGAGATCGGGAAGCCACCGAGGGGCATCGAGCCCCCATCGCCCATCGAGGCCCAGGTGTCCCACCCTGCCCAGGACCGCGGGGTCTCGAGATCCAGGGGCCACCTCCGATCTGTCGGCGACGCATCGTCGATCCTAGGCTTTAGTCGGGCCTGTCCCTCTACAGGACGAATATTCAAAAAATAATAAAAAAACAGTCTGGGGACGATTTGTTTTGACCATTTTCGAGTATTTTAGGGCATTTTGTTTGACTATGTTCATTCTTCGTTGAAAAACCCCCCTGTAGGGGGACAGGCCCGACTTAATCCTAAGCCTGATGCCCCGCCCGCCCTAAGGGGAACGAAAACACACTGTGGGGAAACAACACACACCGTGGGGAAACATCTGTGGGGACAAAAACACACACTGTGGGGAAACATCTCTGTGTGTGTTTTCCCCACAGACTGTGTGTTTGTGTGTGTGTGTGTGCTTTTGTTGTGTTTTGTGTGTGTGTGTGTGTGTGTGTGTGTGTGTGTGTGTGTGTGTGTGTGTGTGTGTGTGTGTGTGTGTGTGTGTCCTTCCCCACAGAATCCTAGGCCTGATGCCCCGCCCCGAGCAGGGCCAGCTCGGCCCTCTCGGGTCCTCCCCTCCTGCTGCCTGCTGCGCACTGCCTTGGCACGGCGCCCCCCCGCGCCGCGCGTGCCCGAGCTGGCGCCGACGCCGCGCCACGCGCTCGTCGCCCTCCCAGCCGAAGCTGGCTCCTCCTCCTCCTCCTCCTCTCCTCCTCCTCCTCCCTCCTCCCCCCTCCCCCTCCTCCTCCTCCTCCTCCCCCCCCCTCTCCTCCTCCTCCTCCTCCTCCTCCTCCTCCTCCTCTCCTCCTCCTCCTCCTCCTCCTCCTCCTCCTCCTCCTCCTCCTCCTCCTCCTCCTCCTCCTCCTCCTCCTACTCCTCTTCCTCCTCCTCTCCTCCCTCTCCTCCTCCTCCTCCTCTCCTCCTCCTTCCTCCTCCTCCTCCTCCCTCCTCCTCCTCCCTCTCCTCCTCCTCCTCCTCCTCCCTCCCTCCTCCTCCTCCTCCTCCTCCTCCTCCTCCTCCTCCTCCCTCCTTCTCCTCGTCGCCCCCCAGCCGAAGCCGGCTCGAGGCCTGCGCAGAGAGGAGCCTCAAGCGCAGGGGGAGGAGGGACACAGGCGGCACCCTTCGAGAACGCGCAGAGACGGACTACAGTCGGCCCCGATGAGAAGATCGGCCCTGTCAGATCAAGAGCGCCTTTGGGCCCTGTGCCTCGCGACCCATGCTTTCAAAATTCCTATGGCAAGGCGGCCCTCGGGAGTGTCTCGTGTCCGCTCGCGTGCCCTCCCCAATCAAGTCAAGTCCGACTGCAAGGCGCGTGGATCAGTGAAGAGTCCCGTTCCCATTCGGCGCGCTTCGTGGCCGAATCGGGCAGCGCTGGCCTCATGTTTTACGGTGTGACTTCCCCGATCTGTGGATCTGGCGCTCGCGCGCCAGATCCACGGATCCGCAATCCATATCAGCACGTGCCCGGATCCCCTCGGACCCCCCCCCCGCCCCTCGTGCCCTCAGAGGCCAGCGTCGTCGTCAGCCGCGACAACGCCCTCGGCGACGCCAGGGCGCAGCTCCCGGAGGGGCGGCGGGCGCGGCAGCGCGTGACGACGCCAGCGTCGCCTTGTTTCCCGTCCGCGTTCTTTCTCCCCCTCCTCCGTCCTCGCTCCTGCTGCATCGCCTCATCGTCCTCCGCCCCCCTCCCTCATCGTCCCTCCTCCTGCCTCTTCCTCATCCCTCCTGCCCCCATCCTCCCTCTCGGTCCCGCCGCCTGCCCCGCCCCCTGCTTCAGCACCCGTCGTCCCTCTGGACGGATGCTCCTCACCTCTCCGTTCTCCATGGCGCCGCCCAGGTTGAGGTCCAGGGGGGCACGCTCGGGGCGATTGGAACGCGCAGCGCCTGCCGGCTCCCTCGCCCTGAGCAGCCCCCACACCCCCGGTACGCCACAGCCCGCTGGCAGAGGTCCGTGCCCCTTCTTGTCCGAAGGCCGAGGCCGCCGCGGAGGGGGCCAGCGAGGGGGGCAAGGGACAGATCCGTAAGCACCAGAGCCGCACCTTATGTCGGGCCTGTCCCCCTACAGGGGGAGTTTCGACGAAAAATAAAAAATATTTCAAAACTGATACAAAATAGTCCAAAACTAATCCGGGGACTATTTTTTGAGTATTCTTTGACCTTCTTGGGGTTTATTATTATTCTTCGTCGAAAATCTCTCTGTAGGGGGACAGGCCCGACCTAAACCTAGTCAGCGTTGCGGGTGGCCCGTTCCAGGAAGGGCCTCGCCCTCAAAGTCTCGAGGGGGTTGGCAGCTCTTCCTGTTGCCGGGGGGCGGCCGGAGGCCGTCGGAGGGCCCAAGGAGGGCAGGCGGCGGAGGCCTCCCAGTAGCCTGGATCATCCCAGTAGCCTGATCATCGGGGGCAGTGCGCGTGAGGGTGGAAGTGGGAGATGCACCCCCAAGAGATGACAGGTTTTTGTTAATGTGCAAGGTGTTCGGAGTCGGCCAAAATTAAGGAAACAAAAAGTGACATAAACATAAAAACTCGGAGGTCCGCGCGGATTTCTCGGATCGGCGCTGGGGCCCCCCGGCGGCGCCTCCGGCGCCGCGCCTGGCGCGCTCCGCGCGCCAGGGAGGAGGGGGGTCCAGCGCCGATCCGAGAAATCAGGGCGGACCTCTGAGTTTTTATGTTAGATATCCCCCCTGGGAGCCCCAAGAGGCTTCAGGAAGCCCCAGGTGGGGTTCAGGATGCCACAGGAGGCCCAGGAGGAAGCCCCAGGGGAGGCCCCCGCAACTCGGAGCTCTGAGACGCCGCGCTCGAGGTGGTCCGGCCCGTTTCGCCTGAGACTTCCTGGCAGCACGGTTCGCCCGAGACATCGTCGCAACTCTTGGGTCCGATATGCCGCGCGTGAGGTGGTCCAGCCCGTTACGCTAGAGACACTCTCGCACTTCTGGGCTCCGAGATGCCGTTCGGGATGAAGAGGAGGTGGAGGAGGAGAAGAAGGAGAAGGAGGAGGAGATGGAAGCGAGAAGGAGGAGGAGGAGGAGGAGAAGGAGGAGGAGGAGGAGAAGAATGAGGATGTGGATGAGGGAGCAGGCAGGAGGAGTGGGAGGAGGAGGAGGAGGGAGAAGGAAGGGAGTTGCAGGAGAGGACCTAACGGGAAGCGAGTGTGACGTGGATGTGTCAGAACGTGTGCGAGAGGTTGTCCGGCCCGTGTCAATCGCGCTTTCGTGTAAACATCTCATGTGCAAGCATCATGTGTAAACATCTCATGTGCAAGCATCATGTTATCATGTTCAACATGCCATGCAAACCCGCACTGGACGGGCACGCAATCGACCTTGGAAAACGGAGTGGGTTAAACAACCCTGTTTGGCGATTTTGCACTCCAGCTATATTTGGCAGGGATGGTTGGCCTGCGCGCATCGAGCAATATGCCGGCACACCCGCCACCCTGGTCAAAAACCCATGCACAATGGCCCCGGGGCGCCCGCGCATGCCCCCTGTTTGGAGGCGAAGTGTATTCTGTATTTTTTTGGTTCTGACAGGGGCGGTGGGCATGCGCGCAGCTCGCGCGCCACAGGTGTCGAACGCCGAGGAAGGTCGTGGACGGGGCGCCCGCGCGTGCTCCGGAGATGGAGGCCGCGTGCATGCTGGACTGCTCTTTGACGAAGGATGGCTGGCCGTCGCGCCTCAAACAACGTGCCGGCACCCCCGCCTCCTCCTCCTCCTCCCCCTCCTCCTCCGTGCCCTGTCGAAAACCGATGCACGCCTCCTTGCGCCGTGCCCTGTCGAAAACCGATGCACTCCTCCTCCTCCTCCTCCTCCTCCTCCTCCTCCTCCTCCTCCTCCTCCTCCTCCTCCTCCTCGACCAAGACCACGCGGACGGGATGGAACACGTTGTGCAAACGAGGCCTGCACCCCCAGTACAGCAAGAGGGAGGTCAGGGTCCACACAGGGAACATCATGAGCCTTTTCAGCTCAGTGGACGGAGTCCTTGGGCCTGACGAGCCTGCCGTGGAGGTGGAGGAGGTCCCCGCTCCCTCGGTTGAGCCTCCCCCTCCCCCGTCCTCGGAGGTGCAGGATGCTCGCAGCAAGCACCAGGCCGTCCTGGCCCAGCGCTTGCTCGAGGTTGCCCGCTCGGGCTCCTCTCGGCCCTCTTCGGGCTAGTCGGCTCTCCTGGCCATCTCTTTCGGCCCAGGTGTCTGCCGTGGCGAGTTTTTCCTCGCCTCTTTTTCCTGCCTGCAGGGACTGTGTCGGTTTCGTCCGACAGCAGGCCCGCTGGCCCACATCTGTCCCTCTCCCCCCGCAGTAGAGGGCCAGGCAGAATGTTGCGGTGCAGAGCGTAGAGCTCAAAAAAATCCTCCTCCTCCTCCTCCTCCTCCTCCTCCTCCTCCTCCCCTTTGACAAAGGATGGCTGGCCGTCGCGCCTCAAGCAACGTGCCGGCGCCCCCGCCATCCCTGTTGAGAGCTGGTGCAGAGAGGTCGCGGGGCGCCCGCCGGGCGGTCGCGGGGCGTCCGCCGAGCGGTCGCGGGCCGCCAAGGCACGCTCCGGATCTGGAGGCAGGGTGCATTCCGCGTGGTTAGCTTGACAGGGACGGTCGGTCTGCGCGGCATTGCGCGCCAGAGCCAGCGATCGAGAACCACTACGCAGTGATCGCGGGGCGCTCGCGCATGCTCGAGATGTGGAGGCATGTTTTCTGGAAGGGCTCGGGGGGGATTGGCATGTCCCACTTTTTTCCTTCCTCATGAGGAGCAATGATAAACCCCTGTCACGAGCAGGGTGGGAAGGAGCTATTTGAAGAAAGAAGACAAGAGTTCTTTAACCACCTACGCCCTGAGGGCTGGTGGGGTTCTTGGGCATCCGATCGTCATCGTCGTCCGTGGACCGTCGTCGTTGCCGTCGCCGTCGTCCTGCTGCCGGTCTCTGGGAGGCCGAGCGCGCCTGCGTGCTCTCTCCCTACTTCGAGTCTGCTGCCGGGACAAAGGCCCGCGCGCGCGCCCCCGCCGGAGGCGCTTCGCGCCCCAGACTTCCTTAGGGGAACAAGAAGTGACATAAACATAAAACCTCGGAGGTCCGCGCGGATTTCTCGGATCGGCGCTGGACCCCCCTCCCTGGCGCGCGGAGCGCGCCAGGGGCGGCACCGGAGACGTCGCCGGGGGGATCCCAGCGCCGATCCGAGAAATCCGCGCGGACCTCCGAGGTTTTATGTTTATGCCACTTTTTGTTCCCCTATTCCTCGCGCTGTGAGGAAAACGCGATGGAAGGGTGTTGCCGTCCTCGGTTTTGTTATGGGTCCATGCGGGGCCCCAGGGCCGTGTGAAGCAATGGCTCCGTCCATGCGTTGGAGTCGGGGCCACCTCGGGTTCAGGAACAGCGCCTGATGCCGGGCCGCGCCTTAGATCAAAAAAGTCGGGGAGCCGATTCGGAGCGGAGGCTCGCCGTGACCAGAACAAGGGAAGCCCCTTCGTTCCGCATCCACCGCTGGTTACGGTAGACCGATGATTCTACGACAGAGCATCGGTCCCCGGGAGGGGGCCGGGGCCTCTGGGCCCGCGTGGCAGTCAACATCGCGACGCGGTAATTGTGTGTGTGTGTTGTGTGTGTGGGGGGGGGGGTGCCGCCGTCAGCGTCATCGTTTCGACCCTCCGGGGGCGTTTCTGACGGTCGTCGTTGCCGCGGCTCGACGCGGTCGAGGAACTGCAGCGGTTCCTGGACGCGGTCGGGGATGACCACCATCAGCAGATAGCCGACTTCGCTGTGTGATCCATTCAAGTGCTCATCCGTAGGTTCGACGTGCAGGCGCCTTTTTTTCCGGGCTCCGGGGCCTCCAAGACTATCACCCCCGCTGAAACCACGGGCCCCAGAAAGGAACCGACAGTTCCTGGGACGTTGTGTATGTGTGCGTCTAGGTAAAGGTTCATAAACCATGTGTGTGCGTGTGTGTGTGTGTGTGTGTGTGTGAATGTGTGTGTGTGTGTGTGTGTGTGTTTGCGCCCGCCCGTTCGGTGACTTCTTCCGCTTCGACGCTGCGCGCGAGGCCGCGAGCGCCAGTTGTTAATGTGCGTGTATCGGGTTTTCCAGTGAGGGGGTCGCGGGCTCAATGAGGAGCAACGAAGCCATGACAGCAGAGGAACTACAGTATTCACAGTCATGCATACATCTGTATACATATAGATAGATCGAAAACGCCTCCGGCGAGTCACCGCCGCCCCCTGCCTTTTTGGAAGCGCCTATGTGGCCGAACGTTGAGGCCAGACCTGCCAAGCTATCGGACCATGTGTTCCCCGAATCGGTTTGTAAAGCCTTCGGGGAACACGTGGGCATCTTGAAGGTCATCTTGGCCGTCTGGAGGCCATTTTACCCTTTCGGGCCTTCTTGGAGGATGTCTTGGAGGGCTCTTGGGCCGTCTTGGAGGCCATATTGAGCGTTTTGGAGGCCTCTTTGGCCGTCTTGGGGGCCTCTTGGGACCGTTTTGGGCGATCTTTGGGGGCACTTGGGCCGTCTCGGGCCGTCGGAAGGCCGAGCAAAAATTATCCCGCCAAAGCAACCTAACAGCGATGTGTATAAGCATATCTGGAAGCATTCCACTTAAGATTCAGGTGAGAATCCAGTTGTAGAATTCTGCTGTTCTCGCAGTCTCAGTCGCATTCGCAATGACAGTCGCAGTGGCAACGGCCTTAGGACCCAATGGAATCCTAAGGATTCCTGAGGATTCCTGAGGATGCTTAACTATGCCTACGGATTCCTAAGGATGCCTACGGATTACTAAGGATTCCTAGGGATTCCTAAGGATTCCAATGGATTCCTACGGATGCCTCAACCTGCCTCAGTTTCAGCCTCAGCCTGCCTCGGCTTGCCTCAGCCTCAGCCTCAGCCTGCCTCGGCCTCAGCCTCAGCCTGCCTCAGCCTCAGCCTCAGCCTCAGCCTGCCTCGGCCTCAGCCTGCCTCAGCCTCAGCCTGCGTCAGCCTCAGCCTCAGCCTGCCTCAGCCTCAGCCTGCCTCAGCCTCAGCCTCAGTCTCAGCCTGAGCCTGCCTCGGCTTGCCTCAGCCTCAGCCTGCCGCAGCCTCAGCCTCAGCCTGCCTCGGCCTCAGCCTGCCTCAGCCTCCCCTCCTCCCCCCCCCCTTCCCTCCCCCCATTCAGCCTCACCTTGTCTCAGCTTCGGCCTGCCTCGGCCTCATCCTCAGCCTCAGCCTCAGTCTCAGCCTCAGCCTGTCTCGGCCTGAGCCTGCCTCGGCCTCAGCCTCAGCCTCAGCCTCAGCCTGCCTCAGCCTGCCTCAGCCTCAGCCTCAGCCTCTCTCAGCCTCAGCCTGCCTCAGCATCAGCCTCAGCCTCAGCCTCAGCCTGCCTTGGCTTGCCTGGGCCTCAGCCTCAGCCTGCCTCGGCCTCAGCCTCAGCGCCAGCCTGCCTCAGCCTCAGCCTCAGCCTGCCTCAGCCTCAGCCGGCCTCAGCCTCAGCCTCAGCCTGCCTCGACCTCAGCCTGCGTCAGCCTCAGCCTCAGCCTGCCTCAGCCTCAGCCTGCCGCAGCCTCAGCCTCAGCCTGCCTCGGCGTGCCTTCTGGGTACACGAAGATCACGAAGTGGCCCACAGTTGGCTCCGGGCAATCAAAATATGGTGCAGGAATGGTGTTCTGGGAACACGAAGAACACGAAGTGGCTTACAGTTGGCTCCGGGCATTCAAAATTAGCTTGGGAATTGTGTTTTGGGAACACGAAGAACACGAAGTGGTGTACAGTTGGCTCCCGGCATTCAAAATGTGGCCTGGGAATGGTGTTTTGGGAAGACGAAGAACACGAAGTGTCCTACAGTTGGCTCCGGGCATTCAAAATGTGACCTGGGAATGGTGATCTGGGAGCACGAAAAACACGAAGTGGCCTACAGTTGGCTCTGGGCATTCAAAATGTGGCCTGGGAGTGGTGTTCTGTTGGCTCCGGGCAGTCAAAATGTGGCTCTTGGCAATGAAAATGGGGAGTCCCCGGTTTTCCCCGGCATCCCCCGGATCCTGCCCAGACCCCCCTGGGGAATCAGGATGTTTTCTTTTGACCCCACTAGAAACCTATGAGTCTTCGCTGTTAGGTAACAACAATCCTTCATCAACTCTTGGGACATCAATGATTTTTGCCCTTTTCGGGACTTCCTGGAAGCCCTCTTGGGAGGCCTCTTGGGCCGCTTAGGCCATCTTAAGGCCACCTTCGGCCGTCTTGGTGGGCTCCTAGCACGTCAGACGCCGTCGGGAGCCGTTTATGGGGCCTCTCTGGGCCGACTTGGGGCCCTCTTGGGGCGCTTCGGGGCCGTATTAGAGGCCATCTTGGGCGTCTTGGATGCCTCTTGGCCCGTCTTGGGGCCCTCTTGGGGCCGTCTTGGGGGCCTTTTGGGCCGTCATGGGGCCATCTTGGAGGCTTTTGGACGATCTTGGGGCGACCTTGGGGGCCTCTTGGGCCGTCTTGGGCCGTCAGAAAGCCGAAAAGGCGCAAATACCAAAATGCTTCAAAAACCTAACGAAAATCAATGATTTTGGCCTCTTCGGGCCTTCCTGGAGGACCTCTTGGAGGCCTCTTGGGCCGTCTTGGAGGCCTCTTGGGAGCCTCTTGGCCCGTTTTGGGCCATCTTGAGGCCATCTTAGGCCATCTTGGGTGCATCTTGGGCCGTCTTGGAGGCATCTTGGGGCCATCTTAGCCGTCTTGGAGGCCATCTTGGCCCTCTTGGAGGCGTCTTGGAGGCCATCTTGGGCCATCTTGGAGCCGTCTGGAACGGAAGAACCCTTTGCAACCACCTCTGGGCAAATTTTCGGCATCCTTCCGGGTGGCCGGCTGGACGCACCGGAGCCCCAGGGGGAGTTCTCTTGGAAAAAGAGCCAAAGCCAAAACCTAAGAAGTCCAGCACGCCAGGCACCCCTGCGATGAATCGACAGGGGGCGGCGGATATGTATACAGAGCTGCCTACGGCAAGTGCCGCCACCGCGCCTGGGCTGTGGGTATGAAGCCTATTGGACAATCGTTGGGATCTCGTGGAGGGTCTCTCGGGGGCCTCTTGGAGGTCCGTCAGACGACTGCAGACACCTTGCCTGGCAGCCCTTGGCATTCTTCCACGCCTCAACGTGCCGCAGGCACGGTGGCGGATGTATGTATACACGCTCTGGCGGCTGCGGGAGCGGGGATGATGGTAACACGCGCGAGGATGATGAGGAGTTATGGAAAATGAGCCCCCTGTCCCTTCCAGTTCATTCTTCATTGTCCGCATCACTCCCTGTCATTCCTCCGTGCTCTTCAGTTCTCGCTTCGTTCCCCCCCGCATCCAAAAGTTGCGCCGCTTCCCGACCTTCGGAGCTACCGCTGCACGACGCCACTGCACGGCTTGCCACAGGGAAATACAGGCAGCCTTGCACACCTCAGAAGCCCCCTTACGAATGGGAGTGAGCGTGCCACGAGCCCCGGCACCGGCGACGCACTGCTCACACCTGGCCTCACCAGTCCGACTATGGAGAGGGGGGGGGGGAGCTGTGCCACTGCATCGCCGCATCGAGGGCCGCGTGAAACCCGGGCACAGCTGGTGTTATGTCGGGCCTGTCCCCCTACAGGGGGATTTCCGACAAAAAACAAAAAATACACAAAAAATAATAAAAAATGCTCCAAACATAGGATGGGGACTAGTTTTTGTATATTTGCTGACCTTTTTGGAATATTTTTTGGGGTATTTCTATTTTTCGTCGGAAATCCCCCTGTAGGGGGACACGCCCGAAATAAAGCTGGTGGCGGGGGCGGTCGGCCCTGCTCCTGGCCCCAGCCCGCTCGGGCGGCAGCCCGCTCCAGACCGTCCAAGGCCTCCGTGCGATGGTGCAGCCTCGTGGCGGTGACTCAGGAGGGAAAAAAACATACAGACACAATTAATCGACGATCCCCCGGAAATATGGGAAAATATGGGAGGTGGGGGGGAAGACACAAACCCAAAACATCTGGGAAAATATGGGGAATCTTTTTATTTGTGAGTATTTATTTGTGTGTCCTGGGGCCCCTTTAGTGACTTCCCGTTGCAGCGCTTGGCGTCATCGGTCGCCTCGGGGGGCGTTGCCCGCCCAGGCCGCCTTCAGAGTGGCTCGTCCAGCACGCCCCACCTCCGGAGCCGGCGGGCTCTGATCACTGCCAGCCCCAAGGATCGCAGGACACCACGCACTCTCCGAGCGTCACGCCTCTCCCAGGTCTCGCAAGGCTCTGAGGCCTGCGGAAGTTGGATCGACAGCTTCGGGGTACCACAGTTCTGATCAGCAGCGGGCCCCGGTCGGGTTCTAGCGGCTTGTGGCCTAAGGCTCGCAGGGCATCCCGATGAGAGCTGCTCCCGAAAGAGCCATTCGGATCCCTCATCAGCGAGACATGTACCAGGAGGGAAACAAAAACAGACAGACACAAGTAACCGTCGATTCCTAGGAACATGTGGGAAGATATGGGAAATGGTGGAGGGGAACACGAAACTCCATCAGATATGGGAAACATGCGGGCGTCCTTGGATGTGCGTCTATTTATTTGTGTGTGTCCCTGGGCCTTGTGTGAAAGCAGGGACGGCATGTCTCTCCCGGGCAAGGAGACGAGCAGGAGTTGACGGGCGCTCCGCCCAGGGCGCCTTCAGAGCCCCGAGAGGGCCCAGCGGTAGACCACGGGGCCCCAGCCGTTACACATAGGTCGCCCCAGAACATCATGCACAGACTCGTGGATCGGAAGATGCGCGGTCAGCTGATGTATTTGCAAGCCTATAGGGCCTTCCACGCCATGTT